TGTTTTATCAACAAGTGACCAGTTGATGTAGAGGATATATTGAACAAAAAGATTATAGAGTTGGATTCAACATGTAGCTGATTTACTATCTAGAGTAGTCTCAAACATAACTGTAGACTGTAAGGATTTATTATATACATGTACTGAAAACATTACCAGGTATATATCGGCTATACTACATGTAGGTAAGAGACTGGTTTTATTTTACCTACACATTCTCTGTGGTAGACATATTTCTATTAAATAAACTGTAAAGTTTTGAAAGTTATTGGGTTTCAGTCTACTTTGTAAAACAACGATTACCTGTACTTCTTTACTGGTAATATTAATACAGCCATTCATCCAATATTAAGTGGTAGACATACATGTACACCATAACTTGGCACCCTGATGGATTATATAGAGTAAAGTTAATGATGGTCAGCTAGAACAGAGACTATAGACCGACAATAGTACTTTATGGGATAACCCATCTATAAACATGATACACCTTTTACTCTTTTTCTTTTGTTGCAAGCGAGGTTGGATTCCCGAATGGATAGCATGTGTGCCCTGTATCATAAGGTCTGTCATTGAGTCAAAAGGCGTGGTTTTGATTCCCTGGTTGTACGTGACAAGGAGTAGGGTCATCTGTCTAACCTTGTGGGTTTTCTCCGGGTCCTCCAGTTTCCTCCCACTGCTAAAGACTCCTGCGCGCAAGCGAATTATTGAAATAAAATTAAACCATAATATGTTAGTCCCGAAATGACCTAGTTTGTGTCTTGTGAGAAGATTTATCCTGGGGTATCAATGGATTAATACATAAATGCACTTTCAGATTATTCCTATTTTGAGCTTTCTGATAAAAAAAAGTACTGAACTGTATGGATCTGGAACCGAGCATGACGTCATTGCTGCCATCTTGGAATTTCGACCTCATATCAAAAATCGAAGTCTGTCAATCAATGTGGAATTGTCAAGGAGAAAACCTGCAAAGTTTCATGTCAATCTAACTTGAATTGATGGAGCTTTAGGCTTTTATCAAAGAGTTCTCCCCCAAGAAGAAGAAGAACAACAAGATGAGTAGCACATGGGGACCAGTTCCTGGTCCAGAAATCTGTTATTTAATTGTGATAAGGTGCACACATAAATTGTGCATAATACAATTTGTAGTTAATTAATGTTAATATACATGTACATTTCAGTATGCCTTGTTAAAATGACCCATTTCTTAACTATACCATGTGAATAATCAACATGTAAAACAATCTTCTTGACTTGACTAATGCCATCTGTACAATAGTACATGCGTATATCATTTATTGTTGTGGTCATGGTCTTGTATATGTAATATAGGACGGTTTGTACATGTATTTAAACAGATTGTAAAATCTCACTGACAAATGTAGTTCACCAATTTTTTATAACCATTAACATTTATTCATAAATTTGACTTTTAAATGTCATCTCATACCGAACTGTATAGTCATGTATTTATTGTGATATAATAAGTGACTATATCATGAAAATACATGTACTGAAAAACTGCCGATATGACAATAATATAAAACAAGCCACTTTAAAATTCCCAGTTCTATTGATTCCATTATGATTATATTTCTCAAATCAAATCTGTTATCTTTGCAATTTATCATGGCTATTGATTCTGTTATAGTTTTAATATTCATAGGTTCTGATTGTTCTCCATCCTGATATGATGATGTAATTTAGTTTGATCGGATTTGACAGAATATCCCATGTAATCTTTCATTGCTGCTGCTCTAGATGTTACAGATGCCAGCATTAAGTTTTACATCTTGATATTGTTTTATTGATACAGTAGATTGAGTAAAGCTTGCAAGGATATTAGGCCTTGGGAATCCTTACACTAGTGACATAGAAAATGTAACAATAATATTCAGTAAATGGAAGAATTCAAGCAGAAATTATTTATGTCTGGCTTACTGTATATAGGCTGTTGTACATTATGATAAACATAATGATTTATATTTGTACCCAAATTCCACTCATAGTTGTAACCAATTTGCCCAAATTTATCTTTATCCTTGTTATTATCATTTACATACTAACAGACTTATTGTCACTTTTCACTATTCAGAAAATATTGTCTATATATATACTGAACAATACTAGATTTTGTACAAAATCAAAACAAATCAAGTTTGATATTTTCTCAAATTTAAGCACTTGACTTGTTACTTTTGTTGGATAGAGAAAAATCGGGTTTAATGTCCACTCCACAACACTAGGTCATTTCAGGTGAATTGGGAGAGTGAGACCCCATTTACGCTGGGTTCTGATAAAGCAAACAGCACCACTGGCAAGGCCCCGATGCTTTTCAAAAAGATGTACCCATTTACACTTTCATTGCTAGAACATTATATAATACTGGCTATAATAATGTGAGGCTGGAAACATGGTTACTGTCACTACCACATGTCCATACTGAGAAAAGAACCTACCACAATTTTAACAAAACCATACTCATTCCTGGTTCAAACTTGAATATTATTACATTTAAGGCTTTTTCCTTCCCTCTCATCTGTTCCTTCCCCTATTGACCACAGTACCCATTTGTTATGTTACAATTACTTTTATCCCAGTAATGAATTTATTTCAATAACAAGATCATTATAAATGATGATATAATAGAACATACAATATAGTTTATTGGTGAACAAATTACATGACCTAATGACCCAGACCAGGATATGGTTATAGGATATATTTTAGAAATAGGTATGGCATGAAATTATTCTCCAATATCTTAGGAAACCCATTGGCTGCCTAGAAAACCTAAATTATGGCTTTTAAATGAAATCAAATTAATGTTTTTAGATGCTCACATGTAATGGAATTTTGTACAATTTCAGAGTTACATGTATCTACCCATTTCAATAATATTTTGATTTTCAAAATTTGTTAAAACTTAGTGGGATTGGGGAATGTTCATTGATGTTTAAGTAGGTACATTTGTACCATATCCTCAGTTTGTCAATTGGAAGTTGCCATTTTTAAGTTACAATATTTCATTTTGATTTTGAAATTTAAATTAGTTTTTAAGTTGCTCTATGGGATGTGTTGACAATGATTTTAGAGCCAGCAGGAATGACTTTGTTGTTGGTGGTGATCGGTATTGAGTGTTCTAGTTAGAGTGAACTATGTATAACATATAATTATCACTCTACAACTAATCAAATATATTGGAATTTGGCTGACTTTATTAAAACTATTAAACGGGAAACTCATAAAGTGGTGAGCATTATTTGATGTTGATATTGTAGTTTTATATCATACCTACATGTGAGTATTTCTACATATGTTGTAGTAAATGAATTCAGTATGTATTGTGACCTAGTCTATATATTAGTGAGTAACTTAATTCTAACCTAGAATTGCCCGTATTAATATGATCTGTCTTACCACACCTATACCTCTAAGCAATTTCTATGTACGTAGTTACACTACATGTAGTATTGTTGTTACATACTCTTTCTTGTTTTGTCATGGAAGTATATGTATGGAATATTTTTAATTTATTTTCTCCGTGATTTTGCTTCTCTGTTGTCCTTTCACTACGTTTAGGAATCATCTCGTAACATCTAAAGACTTTTAGCAAACCTATAATGGGTGGGTGGTTGTGGGTCAGCAAACATAATGCTTTGATATTCTGTTCTCACAGTACAATATTAAAATACTTTTATGACAATTTTTTTTCACTCTGCCATGTAACTGATTTCCTGAAGAGCTTTTAGCCATTTAAAAACAAAACAGATAAAAGAATATAGAGCATGACACAGCAATGAAGGGCAGGTTGAAATTCTAGGAATGGATGTATTGAGAAGGAAGCCATAACCTATTTTTCTGGGAAATCTATAAACTGCTAACACTTCTCTGTATTTAATTCATCACACAAATAATATTTGAAGCTTAGATGGATGTAGACTATTTTAACACATTAAATGAATCCTGTAAAGTCAATCATGTCTGTCTATTCACTCAAGAAATTGAACAGGAAAGGAATTTTTAGTTGGGGAGTTTATAAATACATAATTACATAGATACACAGCTAAGTCATATGAAAGGGTAATATTGTCTTTAAAGGTTTCCTAGGTGGTAGTGAAATATAAACACAAAAACTTGTATCCTGAAAATGATTTTGAAATGGTAAAATTAGGACCAATTTTATAAAGAATAAAGTTAAGCACTTGGATGCTTGATTTTATAGATGTACATGTAGGTTCATACAATATTCGTTAAATGCAGGATGCCCTTACATAAATTATTGAACAATTACTGGTATCTCAGCGGAAATGACTAGAGCATCGCTAAGTTTTTCTCCATATAAAACCCACATCTATCATCTAACAAGCAAAAGCAATTTTAGTCTTGACACGTAATTACATGGATTACTCTCACATTAAATAGATGTTAATAGCAGCTCACTTGATTTGTTCCACTAAATTGGGCACAATTGAAAAATGACTAAATTGTCCCAAATAGGAGGCAGAGACGAGCAAAAGCTTTTGTTCTGAACAAATCGGAATAGAGGTGGGAATGTCTATCAAATTAGGGAAGTATAAGTGGTTGATGCCAGTCTATTGTATTCATATGAGGGTTGTGTAGCCAGTAATATTGATATTCATGTTCCTTGGAGATGTCATATCAATTTGTATTTCATCTAATAGCCAACACACGATTGTTTTATGCAAATAGGCAGCGGGCTACATTGGTCATCATACCAAATCCCAGTGGATGACATTCAGTAAAAGGCTAGAGAAAATTAGTGCCCAGTATTTATGACCAGCTTAGAGAGAGACTGAGGGAGAGTGATGTGATAGGTGATCTTATGCATTAGAGAGTTGGAACTAGAGTCAGAGATCGACATTAAGGCTCACAGTCGTACATCAGTATGCATGTTTATCGTGTTGAGCGGGTAGGAGTAGAAGAGTGTGATGAATACAAGAGATGTTTTATCATATCCTCATTGGAACCAGGTACTCAATACCACTTCTTGCTATCTAGACTACAAACATGCAGCATTGTGATTTTGTTGACATAATAGATTTTATGTCTGATAAATTTGACAAAGTGCAGATGGTGAGAAATACACCTCCATTGATTTGGGTCAGGCCTGGTAAGATTATTTTCCATTATTACACAATTCCATATGTTCTCTACTTTTAGTTTTTGTTTCAAATGTTATTACAGATGTAAGATTACTTTTGACAAAATATTGTTGCACAAATCTGCAGTGCATCTTGGCATCTGGAGTAAAAGAAAACCCAGAAAATATGATATACATGTACATCTACTGTAGATAATGTATCATCCATAATGTGTTATTTTAAAAAAAAAAAGATTTTTGAGATTAAGTCAAGTTAATATACCCAGTAGTTCTAAAATAAGGTCTAGATACATGTATGATGCTTGATTAGCTTAGAAGTTGACACATTTTTTTTTTAGAAAGTCTAGAAGGCTTTGTTGTGTAGATGTTGTATAATTTCTAGGAAATGGGGCATACTTCAAGTAATGCTTGACATAAATTCAAATTTTGACCCCATTTAAAGTGATATTGTTGTAAGTCTTATAATGAATTTAAAACCTAATAATGTCAGTTGCTTTTATTTTCTGTCCTGAACTGATTGCATAATTTATTTTGTAGGAGGTTGGGCTTAGTAGCATGATTAATGCATTCCTATTATGTTGTCTGACACATATTTCTATCCATTCTTACCTTTCGGGGTAATTTTATTGTCCCCCGCCTCTCGAAGAAAACAGGGAACTATTAAAATGGGTTTGTCTGTCTGTCTGTCTGTCTGCCCGTCACACTTTTTGGGACACAATAACATTGAGCTAGAATATTCAAACTTGGTCTATGTGTTTATTAGGTCAGTGCCTTGAAGGAGTTCGAAGATGAGCTTTTTCTGCTTAGGGTAAGCAAAGATATTCAATTTGATTGGTTGATGCTTTGGGACATGATAACTTTAGTTCTAATTAAGTGAGAGTGATGAAACTTGGTGTATAGTTTGATCACATCAATACTTTGACTAAGTTTGATTATCAGAGCATTTTTGTCTCAGGGTAAGCAAAGCAATAAGCAATTTGATTGGCCGAGACTTTGGAGCTCGACAGCTTTGATTCTAATTGAGGGATAGTGGTGAAACTTTGTGTTTAGATTTATTACATCAATACCTTAACAATGTTCGATGCTAAGCATTTTCTACTTAGGCAAAGTAGAGACTTCAATCTGATTAGTCGAGACTTTGGAACACAATAACTCTCCTTCTAATTGAGGTAGAATGTTCAAAATTGGTGTAGGTGTCTATTATGTGAATGCCTTGACATAGTTCGTTCATGTGCATTTTCCACTTAGGCTAAGCTGAGATAATCAGTTTGATTGGTTGAGAATTTGGAACGTGATAACTTTGGTTCTAATTGGGTGAGAGCGATGAAACTCTGAGATAGATTCATTATATCAATACATTGACTGCTTAGGCTAAGTAGCGATAAGCAATTTGATTGGTCAAGACTTTGGAACATAACAATTGAGGTGTAGATGTTCATTAGGTGAATGTCTTGACTGAGTTCAATGATTAATATTTCCCATTAAAGCTAAGCAGAGCTAAGCAATTTCTTTGGTCGATGCTTTGGGACAAGATAATTTGGATTCTAACTGATGGAGAGTGATGAAACTCAGTGTATAGCTTCACTCACTATCAGGTATTTCAAAACCTGAGTTTCATAGTGAACATTTTATGCTTAGACTAAGCAGAGATGATCAGTTTGATAACTCGATACTTTTGAAAAAGATAGATGTGCAAACAATTAATATGTGTCATCTGTTTTGTGGGGGTATTTCGTCAGGGGACATCAGCCTCACTGATGGCTTGTTTTTTGTACATTAGACTTATTCTTAAATGTACATTTACCTATGTCCTTTCAGTATTTTTTTTTGTCAGTTTGATTCACTATTCTATATTGATTGCATGTATAATAATCATAATATCTTTATTAGGGTAAGAAATTAGGCCAGGCCTTTTTACAATTCTGCCCTTGAAACATAACAAAACAATATAAGAACAACAAGAACAACAATGAGATCAAATATAAAAAGTTTATGGAACATTAAAAGAACTGCTCAAAAACTCTTGCTCATATTTGAGATGGAACAAAAATAACATCTCTGGTTTTGATTAAATTGTATGGAAAAGATTAAAAAAAAAAAGTTAACCAATGAACACTTCCAAAATATAACACTTAAAGATACATTCTTATCTTACATTCTTATAAATGGAAAGTAGAGATGCCCAATCTTACTAGAAAAATACCAGATTCCCTGAAAAACACCCATGAGGCAAGCACTGGGCAAAAATGTATCACTAACTGGCAACCCAATGGCTAGTTGCCTGCCAGCTTGACTTAGGGAGCGCTTGTTATTTCTTGATCGAATGGTTAGGCGGTTTTGTGAACATTGAGGGGTTTAAATGTACAAAAGACTCTGCAATTAAACAGCGGAAAAAGAAGTTTGTAGAAGATAATCCAAGAATTTACTTAGGCTTCAAATTCAAATAGTATGGCAAATGGACAGTAAGTACATGTAACGATAAATACATTATGAAAATGGGCTCTCCTGCAATCAAGATTTTTTATACGGTACCTTGGGGTATTTCCTCGTGGACACAACATTTTGAGAGGGATTTGAAGCAAATTGGATGGTTAGCATGTGTGCACTGCATCATAAGGTCTGTCATTGAGTCAACTGGCGTGGTTTCGATGCACCTGTTGTACGTTACAAGGAGTAGGGCGGCCTGTCCAACCTCGTGGGTTTTCTCTGGGTCCTCCGGTTTCCTCCTGCTAAAGACCCCTACGTGCAAGCGAATTATTGAAATAAAATTGAACCATATGTTAGTCCCGAAATGTTCTAGATTGTGTCAAGTGGATGTTAAATCCCATTTCTCTCTCTCTCTCTCTCTTTTGAAGCAAATTTTTGATTAGTTTGAATATTTTTTTATTGCTAATATATCACCTAGTTTGTTTGCATCTTTAATTGACTAACAGCATACCAAGATTTTGTACTGGGGACCTGTTTAAGAACTGTTGAATTCATTAGTTGGCCATCTTTTTGTCGTGTGATTGAACAGATTACAACTGTTTATTGTAAAGGAGTATAATTTGTTTTAAGATGACGTTTTGGATATGAAGTTCATGAATCATTCATTGTTCTAATGAAGAATTATTCCCTTGCTTTTGTATGATCTGGCAAGTAAGACCAGACTAATTGAAGCGATATTTTAGAATCTGCTTGTTACTTGCATCCCTCACTAGACGCATGGTTAATGGTTAGCAAACAGTAATGCCCTCTTTATGTCTGATTTTTGATTAGGAGATTAGAGGGCTCAGTTTTACCATAAACTAATTCTGATGTATGTCTAGATGCCAATAAATATTAGTTGTGCATTGTATAAGTTAGCTGTTTGTGTCCAATAGGAGTAATAGGACATTAGCTATTCAGTACGGAAAATTAATTTTGTAGTACTCACAGGCACTTAGGGCAACGGTAACCAACTTCTAATTATAATATAAATTGTTTAAATTAAAGCCTGCAAATAGCTATTCCTTTTCTTTATAGAGGCCATTTTATTAAAGGCACAGATTAGCTTGAAGAAAACTGTAATGAATTATTAGGGTTTCACACTGCGTAGCTTGTGTGAAACACTATTGTTTTTGTTAAAATTATTATTCTTATTATTATTATTCAAATTCCATTTTGATTAGATCTCAGCAACTGCTTGTCGCATCGTTTCGATTTCTTCGGTTTTACTGGGAAAGTGGGTGTGACTTAGAGGATAAAGCTATTTTGAACGTTCTGCGACAATGCGAAATGTCCGAAATCACCGAAGCTATCGATTTTAAAAATATTGCAGTAATTTTAAAAATAATCGTTGTATTTTAACTTTCGATACATTTTGGCATAGTCGGAGACAGGGCACATAGCTACGCTACTTTTGATTTTTGATTGGATTATTATTGGATTTTCATAAAAGTGACACCATTTGATGCATAATGTCAATTGTGACTAGTTCAACTCATTTTAACATTTTCAATGTCGCCGGAAATGACGTAATTTGGGCAAAAACTGTGTTGTTTGTTTAAGATTTTGATATTTGATTCTAATCAACTAAAAGAATGAACCCATACGATCATATAGATATCACAAAATGGTTTCTAACTTGTTCAGTTGTGGAGAAATAGGCAATTTTCAACAGGTCACTTTTCAAGGTTTTTTGTCCATAAAAGTGTCAATTATTATTCGATTTTCATGAAATTTTCACTGTGTGATACCTAATGCCATTTACGATTTCATACTAGTAATTTAAGATTTTCATTATCACCGGAAGTAACGTCATTTTGGCAAAAACTGTATTTTTAGCCTTCGAAACAGATATTTTATTCAAATGAGTCTGATTTGTAATGTTTTTAAAATTATGATATTTGATTCCAATCAGCAAATAGATTGAACCCATACGATCATACAGATACCAAAAAATGTTTTCTAACTTATACGGTTGCAGAGAAATAGACGATTTCTACAAGTCAATTTTCAAGGTTTTTGGTCTATAAAAGTGGCAATTATTATTCGATTTACTTAAAATTTTCACCATGTGATGCCTTATGCCATTTCTGATTTCATAAAACTAATTGAACATTTTCATTATCACCGGAAGTATTGTACGCTTACATGTAAAAAATGTATAAAATGAATTGATATTGCTGGATTTGGTTGATTCGGCGTCCATTTTATTTGATGTGTGCAATGCTTATGTGGAAACCTGTTTAATGGTTTCATTGGAATCGGAAGTGACATATGTTTAGGGTAAAGTGGGCTTAGTGGCACAGGTGAAACCTCTCATTACTGCATCGCAGTTCTAGTTATTATTATTATTTCAAATTCTGCATAATTGAAGATGTGCAAACTTATTAAATGTAGAAAGATAGAGCCCATTAGTATTTTAGTCTTTTTTATGTTATGAATTACCATATCATTCTTGATTCTTCCTTATGCGGCACTAAAGTATTAGACCAATTCTGTTGAATACAGTAATTGGTGGAAGACCAAATTATCATTAGTGTATTTTTTTTTTATTTCAAACTGGCATCTGAAAAGAGAGGTTTAATTTCTAATCATTTCTTTTAAACCTGTCCTTTAATCAATGTATTATGCAATTTAAACAGAGGTTTATGCAATTTAAACAGAGGGTGTATATTTATAAATTATTTATTTTAGTAATGAAAGTTGGTAATATATGGCAGAAATAATATTAATATAGTTTTAGCAAGTTGTCAGCAAGTGGGTTATATAGGAATATATGTAACCTGTTTTCTGTTATTGTTAGATGGTCATTCAGGTTTATAACACATTTCATTGTGATTTAGTTCACCTCTGATTGGAACCGTCTGTGTGGTTTATACAGTAGTATAGTTTTAACCAACATTTCGGTTAGAACTCTCTCCATTGCATGTACATGTTTGTGTTAACACTAACAGTGTAAATGATGGAATTTGGTAAGTTTACATATTAATATGTGCCATCACTATACATGTACATGTATCTATATCTCATGTGTTAATGTTTCTGGTACATGTAGACACATGTAAATAGCCATCATATACATTGTACCATAATTAGATAAAATCGTCTACATGGTGCTGACTTTGGCAAGTTTCAAATTCAATGTGGTTTGTAATAGTGACTGTATGTAGAATGTAAGTGGAAGTTTAGCATTGGAATGTTATCTAGGATTGAAATCTATTGAATTTACATTAAAAGATGATGTTAATGGAACTAACTACAGCTTATTTGATGATATCAAATTTGAAAATGAATTATTTCAAAGTTATGCACAAAGTTTCAGTTTATTTTGAATTTTCTTTTGAAATTCCAGTTCAGGTTCCTGGGGGTTCGTGCCTCACATTTTGGTGAACACATATTAACAATGGTTGCAATATCTCCTCCTTCTTATACATGTACTATAGATACACATGGGTTATAGAAAAAGGAAATCGGAATTTGGATTAGAATCAATCTATTTGATGGGACAAGAATATGATGGTATTAAAACAAATGGTATAAATGCTAATATTAGTGTCACCCAGTATTGTAGTCAATAATGTTGTCAAACTAGCCACAGTTTTGGAAAATTACTCCAGGTTTTGCAGTATTGAATTGTATTATCAGTATTCTAGTAGTAACTTCTTGTCTTGTTATCAGAATACCAATATTTGTATTGTCAGTAAAGGCACTATTAACAACCATTAAAAGCTTTCTACTGTTTCTGATATCAATCTGTCTTTAGGGACAGACGGAAATTGGCCAGATACTCAACACATAATCAATGATTGTAAAATTGCTTGCATGGCAATCTCACTACACAAATTTATTTCAAATCAGAACATCACCAAATTATCCACTTGAAATTTACATAATCTGTCATCGAAGACCTGGAATTTAGTAAGATGTATTCAATAGCTTTGCTTTAAGCAGATGTAGATCTCCGACCAGTACTGTTGCATAAAATAGGCAGAATCTATACTCAAAAGGAAGACATATTCATAATGTTTTGTTTTGTTTCATTTGTATCAAATTTATGTACTGTTATCAAAGATCTTGATGATATTAAAGCCATATTGTAATATTGCATCATAATTTAAATGGTGGTCAGTGATTGTTATGAGGACACAACTCATATAATGATTTATACTGATAGATCAGATATTAATACAAAACCATAACGTTCGGTTGTCTTCTCTAGAGTAGCCCTATATAATCTTACAATCATTGACGTGACTAAATTATTGTAGTCATTATTTTAGAGTTAGTCATTTAATGGTTTCCTGTATATGTTTTACAGCAACGAGAAACAGAATTGATCACAGGAAACAAAGAAAGAGAGGAAGAATTTTGTCAAGGTTGAGGCGTAACCGCCATAGAATGCAAGATGGCAACCCTGTCGCTGAAGATCAGCGTTGTTCAAAGCAATGCCGTCAAAACAATGCAATTCGAACCATCCACCATAGTATATGATGCTTGTCGTATAATTCGAGAACGTGTAGGAGAGGCAAATCAAGGCAATCGTAAGTTTATTTTTACTTTCATATAGATTTGAAACAGATTTGAGATTTTGTTCCAAGTGTCAGCCACACCTATTAAATGTTTTAAGAAGATCTTTGATGTCAACCAAAGTTAATAATATTTTAATAGATTCTTATGAAATGATAGTTTTACTCAATTATATTAGAATTATTTATACAAATATGTGTTACCATGGTAATATTGTAAATGTAATTTGCTCATACTAAGATTGTAGGTGTCATATATTCAATATGTAACTTTCAAATAAAACAGTTAAACCATAGCTGACATGTTCTGAATAGTCATAAGTATTTAGAAACAAGATGTCTGGAGTTTGGTGTTGATAATATGTAACAAGGTACATGTACATGTAACATGTTAATGAGGTCGATTAGTTGGGTGGAGACCTTAAACATGCACAAGTCATTAATCATCTTAATATAGATTATTTCATAATTATAATTTATATTGAAATGTGTAAATAATATAAAAACCATGAAGTGCAAACTATATTGAGTGTAAATATCTGTTTTACATGATCTATGGTGATGTAGGCTCGTTGTTGGATGCTGGTATTAAATGTGTGGTTTCTAGTTGAAAAAAATGTACATTTTACTAAATGATATTAAAGATGATCTGTTCAACAGATGATGTTTAGGTGTAGGTGTTTATTAGGTCAATGCCTTGATGGAGTTCGTAGATGAGCATTTTCTGCTTAGGGTAAGCAGAGATAAGCAATTTGATTCGTTGATGCTTTGGGACATGATAACTTTAGTTCTAATTAAGTGAGAGTGATGAAACTTGGTGTATAGTTTCATTACATCAATACCTTGACTAAGTTCGATAATGAGCATTTTCTGCTTGGGGTAAGCAGAGCGATAAGCAATTTAATTGGCCGAGACTTTGGAACACAATAACTCTCCTAATTGAGCTAGAATGTTCAAACTTGGTGTAGGTGTTTATTAGGTCAATGCCTTGATGGAGTTCGACGATGATCATTTTCTGCTTAGGGTAAGCAGAGATAAACAATTTGATTGGTTGATGTTTTGGGACACGATAACTTTAGTTCTTATTAAGTGAGAGTGATGAAACACTAGGGACCAGGTATCATTCAGATTTGATGAAAAAAGGAAAGAAACTGAGCTTACCAACTATAATCTAATACACATATTCAGTTAATAGAGTGATGAAACCCTAGGGACCGGGTATCATTCAGATTTGATGAAAAAAGGAAAGAAACTGAGCTTACCAACTATAATCTAATACACATATTCAGTTAATAGATTGCCATGCAGAAAGTATTAAATACCATCAAGATTCATCAACTAACGCCCTGTTTGTGCTACCGTTTAGTTTAAGAAAAACCATTTAGTTTTTGACATCGGTCATCTAGTTTATGACCATTTAGTTTAGTTTTGATATTGGTCATCCAGTTTATGACCATTTAGTTTCATAAACTAGACAACCGATGACAAACTAAACGGTAGCACAAACTGGGCGGTTTTCGATGAATCTTGATGATATTTAACATTTAACCATATTGAAGGTTACACCTTCATAATATAGCCAAGCTGAATTTAATTAACAGAATTGCTGTCAAACTGAATACAGATACACTTTATATGCCAATGTTTATTGTGTATAGTCAGAAATATAAAACTGTCATTTAAAACCATCCAGTGTCCTGACTGGCTGTACATTGTAATCATCAGGGTTTGACAATCCCTCCTGGTTTTTCTTGGAAGGCTTTTCACACTATAATTCTTGTCAGATTGCCTTTGAATTTGCAGATGTTGTTTAATTGGTGGTATGCAAGAACCATATCAAAATTAAAGATGCATATTAATTAAGCGCAAAATCTTAGATAAATGATCATTTTTACAATTATTAACATGACAAGCCTAAAATCAACTATCTAGATCATCGGATGGTCAAGAATTAAATGAATTTGAACACGCGAAAGGTTTTAAACTTTAAACAGGCATTATGTAAGTGCTAAATCTGCCTATTGCAGGTCTTTCTTTGGGCCTTAAATGTTATATAAATTTTTAATTAGACATTTATTAACATAAGGCTGTAATCAATTCTCGATGCCATCGGATAGTTCCGATTTTTAGTAGATTAGAACGATTCGGCTATTTAATGATTTAATTTAAAATTGAGAAGCGAGGCTAAGACTCGAACAACCAGTGCAGTGGTTACTATCAATGCACACATCTTGTCAAAACTACAACCATTGATAACTTAACTCAAAATAAAGTACCGGTAATTTGAATGAAATTTTCAATATATTCATTTTGTATTATCCTTTTTTGAAATAGTATAGTGAGAACGACCAGCTCTTTATCTAATTCTTACATAATGCCCCTTTAATGATGACCTGGATAATCTAGACACTGTCAAGCACTTTTGCTATGGTAATAAACGATTTACACTTCATCTTAAAACAGTCCCAAATTTGATTGAAATTTTTAATATATATTCTTTTTTTTATCTAGTTTTGAACTATTATATAACAAGAACAGCCAGCACTTTATCTAAATCTTACATAATGCATCTTTAAGAAATTCGTGAGTGCAAATTTCAGAGTTATCAAACTTATGAAAGCTTATGAACCCGATACAATATGGATTGTTCGAAGACTCAGTGAGATTGTTGATTACGGTATTAGTTTTCACATTGTAAACTTTGAACGATTTACATTTCTGATCATATTTTGATTTTTAATAAAGCTTGTTTGTGCGATACAAGACAGTATTCTCAATGTAGTGGTTTCTAAGGATTTTGGTGGCAACTTGTCCTTTAATTTTTGAAAATTAGGTGCATCTAAGTCAAAGGTTACTATTTTTGATTTTAGTAAAAAAAATCTTTTTTTTGAAAATGATATTACTTCTTCAAATGTGATACAAATTGAATTTCTACTCCCCAAGTGTTAATAATACAAGAACTTCTGTGTTAAAATATATGCAGGATTGTGAATAATAACCGAGAAAAAACAGTTCTAGAATCAATATTTCTGATTGGATAAATTATATTGAATATCAAATTCCCGAAAATCGGCAGATTACCATTAAGAAAAACCCATTTCTATGATAATGAATTAATATTGGAAAAAAGCTGATTTGTTTGATCTTGTTCTTTGTTATCTAATATGGACACAGAAATGTTATTTTGTAAAACAAAAAAATTGCGACATATTGCATAAGTAATGGTGTAAATTAGCATTATTTAGTTACTACATTGTATCAGTAACCATTGATAACACCATCTGAACAAATAGTGACATTTTGTACTAACTTCAAATATACCTGACTTGAAGGCAATAATAGGCTTTCAAACCATACACAAAAAAAAGCAGTCTTACCAAAAAATTATTAAAATCAATAAAACTGAATGTAAGTTATGGCCATCCAAAAGTTCACATTACTTTCTATGGATTTCATGCTACTATCTTTATTGTTACGGAGTGCCCCAAGAATAATTTATTTATATCCATGAACATCGAGTTCAAAATTGTATCAAAACTTTCCATCCTCATTTTCGTTAATTTGAAAAAAAGGAAAATGATTATTGCCGCCTGGCACCTTAAGCCGGGGTTAAACAAAGTTATTTCACATAATATATATTATTATATACCGATAGTTAAAAGATGTGGATTGTAATTAGAATTTATACTGCATGGTGCATCCTATTTTAAAGAGTTAATCTATACTTAAAACACAAACAGGAAGCTATGTATTTATATAAGAATATCAAATGATTTAATGACTTTAAAAGAATTTCTTTTAAACATTATTGGAACTCTTTATTATAAAACCACACTTTGCAATACAGTATAGAGTTAGTAACCAAAAAATAATTTCTTATATCAAACTTATTTTGTTCTTACTTTTGCAGCCAAATATTTGTAATAAAAGGTCATAATGAATTACTGTATACATTGTATATGTATTTGATTTGCTGTTTATCATGAATATTTTAATGTTAATAAGTTAATGATAGGAATTATAGAGATTAGCTAACTACTAACAGCTCAGCTGTGTGTAATCAAATCTAATTAATTAATATAGCTTTAATGTCAAAGCATTTAATGTAAAGTTGTAGACAGTCCTTTTATGATCTATAGTTATAAATATTTTGCAAATATTCATGTCTCTTTATAATTTAACTTAGTAGAAGTTCAATACATTTATCAAAACTTTAGATTTATGAGTTTATAAAGTTTACCAACAATGTTTGATATTGTCAGTTTTGAATACGGTAATCAATTTACTTATTAAATCAAAATCAGTTTTGAATATGGTAATCAATTTACTTATTAAATCAAAAACATGCATGCAGGTACATCATTACAATTATGTGTGCCAAATATTACTATTATTAATATTAGCCCATCTTCAATTTTGCACATTCTGTATTATTTTACTCCTAAAGATCAGTTTCAATTTTGAATGATTGTATAATTTCTTTTAATTCTCACCACTGATAAATATGAATATAGATCTAAGGGATTATAAAACAGTTTCATTATAAAATAATAGAAATATTTATACAAATGTCAATTATCAAAATATCTAAATATTGTACATTCTTCTTCATGAATGACTCTTAATCCTCCTTGGTAAACTTTTCAAAATTGAATACATGCATAAATAATAGTATAATTATTAATATCCAGACATGGTTTCCTGCAGGCCTGTTAAATTTGTGTTAATTACTGTGTGATTAACTATGACCGTTTAAATGACGACAAATTAAACCGGGAAAAATCTCCTGTACTCTTACTCTTGTTTTATAATCTTTTATCACATGTCAAATATGACTAATAATGATTTAGACATGAATTCATGTGCAACTTTTAATTTAAATAAACTTGAAATCTGGATCAAAAAATCTGACACCACCGAATGACATGTAGATAAAATAAATTTAAAAGATTATTTGTAATTGAAAGATGTATCCATTCATTCATTCTTCCTTCCTTCCTTCTTAGTTTACTTCCTGTGTGGTGTTAGTAATTCATTTGTCTGTTTAAACAGTATATTTTTAAATTATGTCATTCCTGTCTTCCTTGTTTTATCTCTCTATTGTAAACTTTTCATTCAGTCGGTCACAAAGGACTTGATTTGTCAGTAATTGATAATCATTTGGATATTGAAAACAACAAATATTTTAGAGGTGATATGTGAACATCCCACTAGGATGACTTTTCCTACTTGGTTGCAAAGAAGTATTTTGTATTTCTTTCTGCAAGTTATGAAATTGAAATTTGCCATAAATGTTTCTTAAATTAGCTTCTATTCAATATTTTCTGCCTTATTTAGTTCTTCAGATTAAAAAATGGTTTAATTCCTGATTATTATTTTTCAGCATCTGAGTATGGTTTGTTTTTAGCAGACGAAGATCCTAAGAAGGGAGTATGGCTAGAACAGGGAAGAAGTTTGGAGTATTATCTCCTCAGAAATGGAGTAAGATTTAGATAATTAATTTGCTCTACCCAGCAATTCAATTAAACATTACTATTTTTAGCAATATGTTAACTAACAATATGATTGTTTGATCCGCGATTCCAGAAATTCTATGTAATGAATGATTTGGCCAACTTGCTATTCGGGTGAAGGAAAAACAAATTTACAGGATATTTTATTCCCATCCTGCATAGATAAACTTGACTCAATTTTTTCTATTTTCAACATTTTAGGATCTTTTGGAATACAAAAAAAAGCACAGAATATTAAAGGTGCGAACGTTGGATGGAGCTTTAAAAACTCTACAGGTAGATGACAGTCATACTGTTGGTGGATTGATGGTTACCATCTGTACAAGAATGGGTGAGTGTAATACAATTTATGATCTCTCAGTAACAGCGTATTTGCTGACCAGGGCTCACACGTAAAAAAAATGCACAGATTTTTTTCCCGCCAACTCGAATATTTTATCTGCTAAAGAGGTGTGATAAAAAAGACATGTAACAATTTTATTTCTTAGATAGGCCTGTTATAAAAAAAATTACAAAATCCTTCAGTGTTTAAATGTCAAATCTCATCCAAGGATTGCCAAATTTCCAGTTATCTTTAAAGTTACATTTTGTGGTACATGTACAATAGGCCTATTGTCAATTTCAGGTACTGTCATGGTATCAGAATCTGAATCACTGATAAAAATTCCAATTACTTTAGACTCGTCGTTAACTTTAGAACATTTTGGCGGCGATAATGAAAAAAAGGCGGGGGGACCCTTTTCTTACTCGAGAATCATCGCGACTTGTTATTGCGTTTCCGCCCCATGTTGATAATGTAATTTGAAATTATAATATCCAATTAGACATGCTTGTATATTTATTTGCCATATAATGCCCCAGCAAACAAAATTCAAGATATATAAAACTCTTTAAAATAATTGTCGGACATCTTTATTATTGCCCATTATTATTTTAAGACGAAAAAAAAAACGTTGAATAATAACCATTTGGATTAATTATTAAGTGGAAATAATGACCTGAAATAAACTTTTATCATTGACAATTATCAATCAACTAAAACCATTAATCAAAGACAATGGGTTAGTATTACTGATTGACATGTTCTGGGTTATAAGCTAATTGATTAATTGATGATGTTGTGATTGACACTCAACGTTATGGTCAATCTAGGATAAATATGATTAAAATTTTAAGATTTTTTTCCTGCCACTTCTTAAAAGAATCGCTTAGTACTTCAAAACGTTATCAAAATTATCGCCACTGTAATTTTTTTATTTTAAATTGGAGACCGACAGCGTGATCCATGCTGCTGACAGACGAATCTGACATTAGTTAAGGTGATAAATATAAAACAATATTCTGCTGTTTTATCAGCACAAGAGCTAGGCCAGGCCCAAGCTAGCCCTACAAATTTCGAGCAGTCTTTTTTTTAGACTACGTTTTGTTCGAGAAAGAATATTATATTACTAGGAATGTGTATGATGGAATTTATAATTATTTATTAAAACAGGTATAACAAATCATGAAGAATATTCTCTAGTTAGAGAATTAGCTGAGGATGAGAAAGAGAAAACCCTCACATTAAAACGAGATAAGTCAATAGCCAAAGATCAAAAGAAACTGGAAGAAATGAAGAAAAAATTACACACAGATGATGATAGTAAGTTTCGTTACATCATCTAGGTATTGTGGCCGGGGGAAGATTTTGTGGTGTTCCTTAGTTAATGTACTTTCTAAAAATATTAATGAACAGTTGTAATATTCATATATGGTCACAGATGTCTACTTAATATTCCTGTTTTTAAGAATGAATGAAAATACTGACATGGCTATATTTGGACATCATTTTATGACAATAACTTTTATAAGGGGGCTCGGACAATATTGTAATATGAAATTCCATATTGAACAAAAGATTATTTAGATATGATTATTTTGTCATCTCATGTAGATAAGTTTTGTTAAAAACTGGTAATTTCTGGTTGTATCGCAATTCACCTTCTCACAATTCGCATATTAAATCGTGAGACGCCTAATCGATGTATCGAGATTCTTTTTTTATGTTTTTTTTTGTCGCATCAGTAAGTAATCTTTCGCTTTTAATTATCCATGTCACACATTATCCATAGTTACACAAACACTCTTAAATTGTTTTGGTCCTTATTTTGATCCACATGAATATCGTGATATAAAACAGTTTTATTTCTTCAACATCAGCAGGACTAAAAATATCAATTATTCATTTATCCTGTTGTTTTCTTGGTAAATATTGACCTGGTTATGAATTGTGATATGGATCGTATCGTAGCACCTGAATCGCAATATGTATTGTATTGTGACTGCAGTGGCAATACCCAGCACTATTTAAAACATATGTTATTCTGTTTTCAGTGAATTGGCTGGATCATTCTAAAACTCTTCGAGAACAAGGCATAGATCAAAATGAAATTCTGCTTCTCAGACGAAAATTTTTCTTTTCTGACCAGAATGTAGATGCTCGAGATCCTATACAGTTGAATTTACTGTATGTACAGGTACGTCACTTTATATACCACAAATAATATGTGAACAGTAATTCACTTTAATTGAGTGATTGATCCTTATTAACTTGATAGATTCATGTATTTCTATGAACTTGATGATAACCAAATAATCTAACATATTTATAGTTCTTTTTTGTTGTGATAGAAATTATCAGCATGTTATTTAATAATAATTGTTATATAATTAATTATAGTCTCGAGATGCTATTCTAAATGGTACACATCCTGTTAGTTTGGAAGAGGCTATTAAGTTTGGTGGAATTCAGTGTCAAATACAATTTGGCGACCATGTTGATTCGAAACATAAATCAGGATTTTTAGAGTAAGTATCTTTACATGACACTCTATCTTTGGTGGCACTCCATGTTGCCCTTTTCAAATAATGAGAACCAGAATAATTTTGTTTTAATCCATTCATCGTGTCAAACGATGTCCAGAATCCCCTTTAAAGTTCTTAATACATATAAATAATAATTATGATTTGCTCTTTTCAATTTAAAACATATTTTGTTGTTTTATAGTTTAAAAGAGTTTCTTCCTAAAGAATATCTGAAAGTAAAAGGAGCAGAGAAGAAAATTTTTCAGGTGAGTAAATTTTACCAAGAAAAAGCACATTAATTTCTTTTGGTCAGTTAGTGGCTGGTGACGGATTTTTATTATAAGTCATGCTTTACCCATCTTCCAATACAATTCTGCAACCCTGCATTGCCATATTCTTCACAAGTATTACAGAGTTCCACAAAAACAATTTACCGTATAAAGATGGTCATCATATATAGTTCATGAAATAGCCATTCATTAAACTTCCTTCCAGCAATAATAAAAATAGATGGAAAATGCAAACGGCATGTTGAGATGTAATAATTTTATATAAATGATACTGGTTCAAATTTTTGTATTTTTATTTTTTTAGGAACATAAACAACATGCAGGTTTATCAGAAATTGAAGGAAAAGTAAAATATACACACCAATGTCGTTCGCTAAAAACATATGGTATCACTTTCTTCCTTGTAAAGGTAGGTGATTGTCAATTAAAATAATTGAAATATTACTGTAGTAACATAATAGGAATATCACTGTGGTATTATATATTCTGTTTTTCATCTATATATATATTTGTGACTGTCATTTGTCTGTCTGTCTGTCTGTCTGTTCGGGGTTGGCGACTACACTAGGTCTGCCCCGAGTCTGAAATTTGGGGTATAGGGTTAGCTAGGACCGGGGAGTAACATAGACCAGGTGGCGTTAGTCTACCACTTCCGGTTTTGGAGTTATGACCCCCCCGAGTGAAGCCGGTCTGTTCGGGGTTGGCGGCTACACTAGGTCTGCCCCGAGTCTGAAATTTGGGGTATAGGGGTAGCTCGGACCGAGGAGTAGCATAGGCCAGGTGGCGTTAGTCTACCACGTCCGGTTTCGGAGTTATGACCCCCGAGCGAATTCTGTCTGTTCGGGGTTGGTGGCTACATCTGCCCCCAGTCTGAAATTTGGGGTATAGGGGTAGCTCAGACTACCACTGCCGGTTTCGGAGTTATGACCCCCGATCGAAGTCTGTCTCTTCGGGGTTGGCAGCTACATTAGGTCTGCCCCGAGTCTGAAATTTGGGGTATAGGGGTAGCTCGGACCGGGGAGTAACATAGGCCAGGTGGCGTTACGTCTACCACTTCCGGTTTCGGAGTTATGATCCCCAAATGAAGCCGGTTTGTTCGGGGTTGACGGCTACACTAGGTCTGCCCCGAGTCTGAAATTTGGGGTATAGGGGTAGCTCGGACCGGGGAGTAACATAGACCAGGTGGCGTTAGTCTACCACTTCCGGTTTCGGAGTTATGACCCCCCAGCGAAGCCGGGTATCCTGCTAGTATTTACATATATACTAGGATCTCACTATATGTTTCGGTATAACAACATTGGCTATATCAATGATGTTCTAAAATAGCATTATAGTGAAGAGCTGCACATTATAGGTGATTCGCTATAACATGGGGTATATCAATCTACCCCAACAACAGTGTTATAGTGAAGACCTGTTGACCCCTGTATGTCTAACTTACTGCCTATTTCTCTATTGGTACAAATATACTATTATTTCTCTTGAAAAAATGGAAACTGTGTGACAACTAGAGTTATATAGGGGGGTTGGATGGTTCAATGGTTAGCGCGTGCATGTTGTATCATAAGGACTGTCATTGAGTCAGCTGGCAGAGTTTCAATTCCCTGGTTGTGTGTGACGAGTAGGGTCGCCTGTCCAACCTTGTGGGTTTTCTCCTTGTCCTCCAGTTTCCTGCCACTGCTAAAGACCCCTACGCGCAGGCGAAGTATTGAAATAAAATTTAAATATGTTAGTCCCAAAATGACCTAGTTTGTGTCGAGTGGACCTTAAACCTCTCTCTCTCTCTCTCTCTCTCTCTCTCTCTCTCTGTGTAGAGTCATATAAATTATATGCCTTAGAGAATGCAGTGAACTTTTTTTTTTCATCTCATCTATTTAAGATATGTAAGTAGCATTACATAAATGTTTCTATAATCAAATAATAACTGTTCTTTTATTTACAGGAAAAATTAAAAGGAAAAAATAAGTTAGTTCCTCGTTTATTGGGTATAACTAAAGAAAGTGTTGTTCGTGTTGATGAAAAAACCAAAGAGGTTAGAATTACCTTGATTTCTCATCAAATAAAGTATAATGCATATAAATTAATATTGTAATGATTATAAATGTATGAACATATTTTGATGTATGAAAGAGGCATTATATTTTGTTTTAGATCATGAAAACTTGGCCGTTAACTACAGTAAGAAGATGGGCTGCCTCTCCTAATAGTTTTACTCTGGTAAGTTAAATATCTGTTCACAATATGTACTACAGCCTAAATGTTTTAGATCAAATCCCCTTGTTCTACCAGGCATTGTCTAGTATATCCCTTGATTTAAATTTCAAATTTTATGTGTTATAGTCCTGGTATAAATAGTTTTATTGTTCTATATAATGCATGTTTTCAGGATTTTGGTGATTATTCTGATACATATTATTCTGTACAAACAACAGAAGGTGAACAAATCTCTCAACTTATTGCTGGTTATATTGATATTATTCTAGGCAAGGTAGGTTATTTTCTCTTTACAACATATTGTTGGAAACTTTTTGTTCAGGCAGTGGATCCTAACCTTAAAGCTAGCCTGGAGGTCGGGTGTTCGATCCCTGCATTGGCCGAGAAAGTTCATCTGGATTTTCCGACGTGGTTTCCCCTTGTCAGTGGTGCAGAACGGAGGGCCTGACAAGGACAGCTGTCTAGTCCTTCGGATGAGACGAAAAACCGAGGTCCCGTGTATACATTAGAATGCACGTAAAAGATCCCTTGGCAGTTGGAATTCGATATAAGAGTAGGCGATAGTGTCGCTGCCCGGGCAAAATTTCCCTCATAGCACACTGTATGGCGTATGCCCGTCTTTATAAGCCCAGTATAGGAGCAGAACAGTAGGACGTTAAACCCCATTTCATTCCATTTCCTAACCTTAAATTCAGTGATTTACCTCCAAAAGTCAGAATGTTTGTACTAATGTAAAATTTGATAAGATGAATGTTTTATCAATATATTTGTGGCAAGAAATCGGTGGGAAAAGAAAAAGGATTTATTTTAATAAAATGAAAGATATCAGATACTGTCACCCCTTGTATAATTAATGATATTAGAAGATGGCCATATTTAGCCTGTCGATAACCTTCATTCAGAATTGTTTTAATTTAAAAATAAAGTCCAAAATATTTACAGGGTATAAGACAAATTGATAATAAAAACTTTAGTTCAAATGTGTACATGTCACTCAATGAGTTGATTGCAATCCTGTCATTTAGGAATATCCAAAACTTACAATTGAGCTTCACCTGTACCTATATAGTAAGATATCCACAGATGATTCTTGTGAAGTTTTCATTCTGATATATTATAATTTATTACAGAAAAAAGCTAAAGATCATCTGGGTATAGATGGTGATGATAATTCTATGATGTTAGAAGATAATGTTGCACCAGCCAAGTAAGTCATAGTATAGATTGGCAGACAAATCTTACTATAATTATTTTGATGGCCTCATTTTAGAAGATGTTTCAGAATAGTTTTTGTTATTCAGATATTCTTATATTTGCATTTTGTTATTTGCATTTTGCTATCTGTGGTTTAATGGTCGAAAGAGAGACATAGTAATATATTGGTACTGCATGAGGATGTTAGCCTGAGTGTTGTTTCAATATATTACGCAATGTCTGAAGCTCGAGACCATTAAACAACTTTAATACAGACACTATCCAGCACTTGCTTTTCATGAAATACATCACATGAGTTCAATTGGTAAGTTGCCTGTACATTATTTGAATACTGTCATGCCAGCATCAAAGGATGATGTTACATCTGTTTTTTAAATATTTATAAAGTGTGATCTTAATATCTAAACTCCGAGCAATTCTTACAGCTGTTTTAATTACATATACCGGCTAAATCCAAGGTAGATGACTGTCGATTACATTTATAGCAAAGTTAAAGATAAACAGTCCCATACTAACAGGGACCGTACAATATAAAAACATTTATATTTTCATAAAATTTCGTCATTTCTCTTAAAATTATCACAAAATGGAAAAATATCATAAAAAATATAAAAAATATAAAATTTCACTATTTCTCATCAAATGAGACGAAATTTTATTCAAAATATAAAATTAACCATAAATCACTACTCCCAATAATAAATTTCTATACTAATAAATCCGGATGTGAATAAGAAAATCATTCAGTTATTTTATCACCCCCAGCTTGTTGTTCTTTCATTATCTATTTGACAGTGTTCAGTCAATGTTATGTGGGTATATGAACACCTGGCTCTCACATGGGGTTGGGGGGGCATATGCCCGGTGATGACACTTCTTGAGTGGTGTCAAGTTATCTAAGTGCATACTAGAAATATTTAAAAGGAGACCCTTTGAATATTTATGGACTAAATATTGGACAAAATATAAATTTTGGACAAAAATCTGTGTACGGTCCCTATACTAACTATATCACAATTTATCTTCTTTTTTTTTTTTTGCAAACAGGGCGACAATTATTCAACATAATACAAGTAAAGTTAGCCATGCTAGTTCTGGTAATGTAGCTATACCAGCTGTTATACGTGATGGTGGACAAGGTGAATCACAGTATGGTACCGGTTCAATGCAGTCAGCCATGTATACACAGGTTACAAACCAATCTATCAGTGGACATTCTGCTGCTCACAGTGTTAGTGTTAACTGCTTGTCTTTCTAACCCCTGGTATAATCTCAAACATTATAGAAAGAAAATGCTTTAATAAACTAAGACAAGTTATTTGCACAGCCCTGAAAAAAACGCCACTTGAAAAAAACATTTAGACCAACTCTTTGTTCATTGTCTGTTGCACATACAGAAACAACAGAATAAAATTACATGCTTAATCTTGAATATGATTATAAATAAGCTTCATGGATATATTCAAGTTTTTATAGACACAAAATTTATTAGATCCAGACTATTTAAAAAAAAATTATAATTTTAAAATCAGGTCTATAGATGTTTGAGATTCCACTATTTCATTGATATGATATGCATTTATTTACAGATCTAAATCAGTGAACTTTTAACTTTGATTGAATGATTCAAACAAAAAAAACCCACTATTACTAATTGATAATATTATGATAAAAGAAACATCTGCCATGGTTTTAACTGAACAAAGTTAACTGATTTACATCAATTATATAGGACAGTTTGAAATTTATATAACTTTAAAGCATCTTATTACAAAGTGAATTTTAGAAGATGTAACTCATATAACGATATAAGGTAAACCATATATGTTTGATATTTCTTAGATAACTGATACAACATGAATGGTGTGTGATCTTACTAGCAGTTTAGATTTGATAACTTTGTGGAATAAAATGTAGCTTTCCTGTAGATTTAGACATATAAACTTGCACATAATTGAAGTTTTGAAAATCAAAATTTTAAATACATGTTCTTGGATAACAAATTAGAGATAGCTTTTCATTTAGCCAATATTTATTTATTTATTTATTTATTTATTTATTTATACTCAGCCAAATTAAAAACTTGACACTCAGGATTTTTGGGACTAGATTTTTAATATTTGGTTTAAGGCAACTATTTTAGTGTTATGTTGTGCACAGACGACCTTCACATCAACAGAAAGCAAGAATACGTCTCGCCGAAAGTCCTTGACATTGATAACGTTTGTGATGTCACAGTACCCCCCAAAATGAAATTCACAGACTTGGAGAACAATCGGAATAAAGTGTTTAGTAACGGTTGTGGCCTCCTAGCGTCTCGTACTGCCACACAACGTCTTCTCATGGATCTCAGAACATTAGTAAACACTACCCGAGGAAGACGTCGCCACTGCTCAGCAAGAGCATGTTGAAGGTCCTGCAACGTCAGTGGTGGATTCACTTGCTGACGAACACGTTGACCCAGTTCGTCCCAGATGTGTTCAATAGGATTAAGGTCGGGGCTAAGCGACGGCCAATCCAGGACTTGGACACCGGCATTTCTTAAAAAATTCTGGGTAGCAATTGCTGTATGGGGTCGAGCATTGTCTTGTTGAAACGTTAGTCCAGGCCCATGTCTCTGCATAAACGGAAGAAAAACAGGTTGCAAAATCTGATCCCTGTACTGGACAGCATTTAAGTTCCCTTGGACAACAACAAGAGGAGAATGTCCATGTGCACAAAAAGAACCCCATCCCATGACGCTGCCGCCACCAAATCGGTCAACTTCTCTGACGCATACTTGAGCGTAACGTTCACCTCGTCTGCGGTACACTCGGGCCCTGCCATCGGCAAATCTCAAAGTGAATCGAGATTCGTCACTAAAGACAACCGAATTCCACTGTCTTTGAGTAAATCTTATGTGTCTTGTGGCCCACACAAGTCTGTTATGGCGATGAAGAGGTGTCAATATTGGTCCATTATAGGGCCTGCGAGCTCGAAGACCAGCAGCCTGCAAGCGATTTCGAACAGTTTGTGCAGTTACCCTTCCACCAAACATCTCTCTACTTGTGGAGGTTGCAGTGACAAATCTGTTTCTAAGATGACGTAATCGTATTGCTTGATCTTCCTGGAGTGACGTCACACGTAGCGCTCCCGCCCTTGGGCGGTCGGCAATAGTTCCAGTTTAAAGCACTCTCATTCTAAGATTAATTATTGTCTGGCGTGAACAATTAAAGGCTCTTGCAACAGTGACCACAGACTGACCAGCATAGAGCCTACCTATAGCACGTAGACGTTCTACATTTGAAAGGTGCGGCATTTTCTAACATAGATGAAAATAACAATTTTAATTTGTTTTTCCAGTTCAAGTTACGTGTGTGTGTTCCGTTTAAGCAAACTTGCATCGATTGACCTCACGAGTTTGTTTATGCACATGTTTTTCATCTTTATATGCTCAAAAGTCACGTGATCCACATGACTTTACAATTTTATGAAATTAAAGGCTTCTTACTACTTACTATCGTTAGAAACACTTTAAAATTTATTTGACTTACCAGAAAAAAAAATTTGTTGAAATTCATCAGTGTCAAGTTTTGAATTTGGCTGAGTATATTTATTTTATTTATTTATTTATTTATTTATTTATTTATTATTCATCTATTTATTTATTTATACTAATATTTGTATTTATTGCATAGTTATTTTCTTTAAATAATAGTGAACAATCATATCACGATGCGTCCACGACTTTTTTGGTAGGCTTTACTCTTGAAAATATATACACACAGATTTCTCTTTTGAAGGGTTCTGTTTCTTTCATTATGAACATATTCAAATATATAAATCACACATATAGTATTTTCTGAGCACAGCTATTGGGTTTAGGAATAGCCTACATATTATTTATATTTATCCTCTACATAATATATATCACATTCTTACAGACAAGGTTTTTATATGATTGGTACAGTTTACCTACTGATAGTGATATTAACTATATATTTATTTTGTAATAAAGCATGTTTTGTTGAAGGTTTCTTATTCAACTAAACAATTTTGTGTGTGTTAGCATGAAACTTCAGGAATTCAAATTTACATTTACCTATAGCAAAGAACCAATATACAGGATTTGAAATAAGAGTTCCCTCAAGCTAAAATCTAGTATTATCTTATTCCAAGGTAAATTTGGTGAAGAATAGTTGTTGAAATAGAATTATAATGACTTGTCAGAAGTACATAATTTACCCTTTTTGTTTTTAATCTTTTTACATGGTTTTTACTCCGGATTATTTTTCCCGTTCGACTATATTTGGTTTACATCATTATCCAATTTAATTTTTACTCCACATACCAATACTGTTCATTATTTGAGTTCATTATATTTTGTAGGAAAAGAGCCGTGAAGAAGTTGGTTTAAATAAAGCTCAGAGAGCGTTATTATTGACAATAGAAGAAGGTTTGTCGTCTGTTAATGCTGCGCAGAGTCAACTTGAACATAAAGCAGATTTACCTACTCTTGGTTCTGATCCAGTAAGTATCTATTGCATTTACTACCTTGTAGGCCTACAATTTTTGACCATTCTGATAGACAATGCAGGAAAACTACTCATCACACCATGCACTTAATAATCAATGCAAGAATGCAGATAAAGCAAATTTAGGAAAAAAAAACAGCGGTGAGAGTACAAAAACTTCAAAAGAATAATCCTTTGTTTTTTCTTGAGATACCGAAACAGGCCAATGACTTTTATAAATGATGACACAGGAGAACTGGAGTAAACATGATAAAATAAAATAGAAAATGTTTTAAGTATAAAAATCTGATTCCCAAAATATAAATGATAGAAAAAGGTATAGGATAACATATTCATATAAATACTTGGCATAGTTAATGATTACTATGAATTTAATAGAATGGGGAATATGTCATAAGACAACATTAAATATCCCTCTAATACTTGGGTTCCCAACCTTTGAAGCACGACCCCAGAAACACTTTTCTTGGGGTGTTGGCGGACTACTCTGAAACTTTCGAAAAAATGCTATTTTCATGAAAAGCATATAAATCTCTGATCTATACACCTCTTGCCACATTTCCAATCGTCTTTCCTCTCTCACATCCACGATTTATTTCCATAGTCTCTCAGCACAACATTTTGATCAGGAAAGTGAACTAGTTTTAGGGGATTCCCACTCTATCTATATCGGGATGTGGATGATTTACCCGGGTGACTTTGTTCTTCAAGTAGTGGCGATCAAATGTTGGTTTTTGGAATGGAATCTCAACCAACAAAAGGTTGTGAATCACTGCTCTAGTAGATGTCCAAATCGAGAATAGCAAATACTTTTAAATGTTGATTTATTAATTTTATTATGTTTCTCTGCTAATTCAAATTAAATAATTGTTATGTTAATTTATCAAAATTAAATTTTTAGTCGGTAAATATAAATGACTTGATGAAAACTGTATTTATATCCAGGCATCAAAGAAATGGAGAGAAGATGCGCTAGATGTGTCAAGACAGAAAGTAGGAAGTCAGCTGTCTGCCATGAACGCTGCTACAGCACAATTAGTTACATTAACATCGGGTAATCAAGATGAAATAGATTATACTGCCGTCGGTTCAGCTGTCAATCAAATGTAAGTCCTTTCTTGTTATTATATATTGAATGCATACCCAATGTAGAAAAATGTGGAAAATTGTACCTTATAGAGTGTTCTGATGGAGTAAAATTAACATGTTATTGTTAGATGAACACTGAAATGTGACAATAAAGCCTAATTAGCTTTGGTCATAAATCCTACTCTCTACGACTCCTAAATCCCTCCTAAATCATCACTTTTAGTTTTATTTCGAAAAATTGTGACTTTGGCGGCCTACATCGTGTATTCACATTGTGGTATATTGTTATGATAATAAACAGCTTGATGAAAATATTATTTTAGTTCATCTAATCTGGGAGAGTTTAGTGGAGATGTAAAGATGTTGGCTGCACTACAAGATGACTCTAATAGTGGTAATAAGTTAATGGATGCTGCTAGACGTTTAGCTGGTGCCTTCAGTAATCTCTTACAAGCTGCACAACCCGGTTCATCAGAGGTATGTTTTCGTAACATGGTTTACAGGGATAATTGATAGTAATGTTGCAAGATTTTATTTAGAAGAATTCCCTCCACCAAGATTATAAAAAGCTCATAGGCTTCCGGTTATTTTGTTTAAAAAATTGGCAAAAAGTCCTCCTATATATATATATATTCTATTTACATATATATTTTTCAGCCCCGATTACAATTATTATCAGCCGCAGGTAAAATTGGTGAAGCCAGTCAAGAAGTTATGGATAATGTTGGCGAAACAACTGAAGATATGGACAAAGCCTATCAGGTACCCCGGCTCTACCCAAACTAAATATAAGAATATAAGATAAGACATGAAATGATTTTATTAGTGTGTAATTAACTGATCTTTTATTTACTTATTTGTTAAGAGTAAATTGGGAGTTATATGCATATAACTCAGCGCGGGGGGGTGTCCATCAAATGGACACAAAACCGGACCCAACTTTTCAAGAGTAAAATTTTGCGTAGAATACGATGCTGAGTGGTAATCAGTCCGCCGTTGGGGCATTTTCGGCGTCAAAGGTCAAATGAGTTCATTTGCACTGAAAGTGAATGTGCAGTCATTCTTGTATTATGAAAAGAAGCTGAAAATGATCGAAAGTAATCACACTTTCAATAAAAATGTAAACTTGCTAAATTCACCTTTAGTCTTAGTGACCCTGGAGGTCAAAAGGTGAAATTTACCATTTTTGGACTAGGAAGATTTAAAGCAATAAAATGTCAACGTAAAATATAAAAACTAAAGCGAAACCTGTTCTAATTAATAATAGGAAAATTTAAAATTTAACTTTAGGGGGTCTTAGCACCGAACTTTTACTTTGGAATGTCGATTTACTCTAGATTTGTGCCAATTTGATGGACACCCCCCCCCCCCCCCCCCCCCGCACTGAGCCTCCAGACTATTTGTTAAAAATGTTTTGATAAAATATGATAAAATTTGTATATAATTATTTACAGGATACACTACTATCTCTAGCTAAAGCTGTCGCTAATGCTACAGCAGCTCTAGTTCTAAAAGCTAAAACAGTGGCTAATAAAACTGAAGATCAGGGATTACAGAATAAGGTTATCAGTTCTGCTACACAATGTGCTTTAGCAACCTCACAACTTGTGGCTTGTACTAAGGTAACCCATTTTCTTACTTTATATGAATTTTCTTACCTTTCTATAAACCAGCGGCTGCCAGGCAGATACACCCACATGGATAGAGAACAAGCTAAACAAAAAGAGATTTTTCGTATAATCAAGGGCCATAATTCAGGAAGTTATTGATGGACATCCAGGCGGACAGGGGCGACGGCAATATACATCCACATGAAAATGTGGGCGTATAAAAAAGTCTTCATATAAATTCTTTTAGTTTTTGCTAACCATTGTTTTTAACTATCACACAAATATACCGGAAACTGTACAAAATACTTCGGTAAATGAAATGTATATAATAATAATAATAATCAAACACTCTAGAAATGATTTCTCACCTCATATAAATTTTTATACGCCCACATTTTCATATGGAATATATTGTTATCAGCCCTTTCCGTCCGTCCACAAATTGTTTGTGGACACTCTACAGGTCACAATTCTTATCCGATTTTGACGAAACTTGAAATATAGGTTTATCTCCAAAAGATCTTGGCTGCTTTCGATATTGGCATGTATCGGATCGAAACTTCATGGATTATGGCGAAAATCACGTTTTTAGCTTGTGGACCCTATAGAGGTCACAATTTTTATCCTATTTAGAAAAACGTTTTAATGTATCACCGTTACACCCTAAGGACGGCTGATTTTGAATTTTGTGAAAATCGGCCCAAAACTGACAGGCAAAATGGCCGCCCCTCGTTCTCAAATAGCGTAAAAATATGGTATATCAAGGTTGTGGACCCTATAGAGGTCACAATTTTTATCCGATTTTGTTGAAACTTGAAATATAAGTTTATAACCCAAAGATCTCGGTTCCTTTTGATATTTGCGCATATCGAATTGTAATTTCCTGAATTATGGCCCTTGATTGTAGGAAAAATCACTTTCTTTTTAGCTTGTTCCCTATCCATCTCTCGAAAATGTGGGCGTATCCTGCCTGGCAGTCGCTGGTTGTAATTTTCAAACGATGTTTTGAAAGTAAACTATATGCATACTTTCTAGCGCTAAAAACACTGTTTTAAACGATACCAGTGGTACAATGTATGGCCCTTGATGGTACGAAAAATCGCTTTTTGTTTAACTTGTTCTCATCCATTTCTTTCAAAATGTGGGCGTATCTTGCCTGGCAGTCGCTTGTATTTATTTTTTAAATGTTTAACTCGTACAAAAATATAACTGTACAAAGTCACATAAGACACTCTGAAACTGGTAAAAACTAAAATATTTCTTGTACCCTATTCATGATGTTTCTTTCAATTGAAGAGCATTAAATGTATTAAACATAATCTGTTTTCAGGTTGTAGCACCAACAATAGGTCATCCAGCTTGTCAAGAACAACTTATAGAAGCAGCTAAACTTGTGGCTAAATCTGTAGAAGGTATTGTTGAAGCTGCCCAGGGGGCTTGTAGAGATGATTATGTATTACAAGATCTAGGTGGAGCGGCTACACTTGTTACCAAGGCTCTTAATGATTTATTACAACATATCAAAAAGGCTGCTGGTCCAACAAAGGTATAATTATTAAAACTATTATACAATTATTTTAATAGACTTGATCATCAGGATGTTTGTTGATATTGATGACAAGAAACAGATTTTGAATCTCATTTGATTGTCTAGATCCTAATTGAGTATGTTTGTTTGTTTGTTGATTTTTGACGAAACATTATTGCATACATCCATATTAGTAAGATAAGCAACAATAATGGTTAAACATATAATTTGTGTTTTTTAATCAGTTACCACTGAAATAAAATTAAGACTGACATAGTTACTTCCAACATAGTTTGTATGGTAGAGACTAGCATTTAGTGCAAATAGTGTGTAAACCACAGTCATAAAAAATGTTCTGAATTGACTTTAGCCAGTTCCAAAATTTTTCTCTGTCAATCATGGTTTCTATATCGTAACAGAAAATATATCCCCAATTCTACCAAGGCTGGTGGTGATGTTTCATACAAGTAGGGGAAACTACAATTACTTATTTTGCCTATGATTCATTAATAATTATTAAATTGTTGAAAGATAGTAAATGGTAAATTGTTTTTTTCAGGCAGCAGAAATACATGAAGAAGCTGTTGATCAGATTATTACAACCACAGATAGATTATTTAGTAGTGTCGGTGATGCTCATGAGATGGTAAAAAATGCTCGACAACTAGCACAGGTATTTTATTTTAAATCAATTTCTTTTTGGGAAGATATACCATTTCTGTCACGGGGAGTTGCTCTCTCTTGTCATCATATTGTCATCCAATCAGAGACACTACCATTGATGTCTCTTCCTGCAAAGTTGCTAATCATCAGTATCGTAACAATATCCAAATTTAGATATATCAATAATACTAAATGTTACTTGTGACCTATACTTAACGGTGTAATAAGCATCTGACAACTAATTCTCCCAAATCTGTTTTCAGGCTACATCCCAACTCGTCACAGCTATACGTAGTCAAGCTGAATCACATCCAGATACAGATGTACAAAAACGTCTATTGGCTGCTGCTAAACAACTAGCTGATGCTACAGCTAATCTAGTCGAGGCTGCTAAGGTATGTATTATAGTTTGTGTGATTAATTCACAGTGCATTATAATGGAAAATATCAGGTTTCTTGATATTAAAGAAGCAGTATTTGGGGTATCTTTTGATAAAAGTGGGTTTGAGCATACAAATGGAAATCGAAAATGTGAAGAAATGGCCTTAATAATATATCTGAAATATACAACTCAAAACATTGAGTCCTTCGAAAAATGATCTCTACTTGACAACCTTTCTTTCTGATTGTGTAAAATTGGGTTAGCTAGTATAAAGCAATTATAGTTTTATTGAGCATATATTAAGTGGTATTTTCTATTTTTTTCAGGGTTGTGCCACTAGCCCCAATGATTCTAATCAGCAGATGATGTTACGTTCTGCTGCAGAAGAACTGAGATCAGCGACCAATTCAGCTGCTAGTAACGCCTTGAAGAAAAAACTTGTCAAGAGATTAGAGGTAAATTATTAAAATATAATCTTGATGGTCAATATATATAATAATTGGATGAAAAGAAAGTTAGTAATGATATCAACTAAAGATATCAATTATTAGAATTTATGTTTTTATTCATAGACAAAGGATTTATAGTGAATCTAGACAAACTTTCTACATGGTGGTAACAAATCTATTTCAATTATATATTCTATAAAGTAACAGGATTGATTTAAGATGAATATTTTCTCAATGAGACTGATGTATGTGTTGATATATAATGTATTGTGTATATTTTATAGAATGCTGCAAAACAAGCAGTATCAGCTTCAACACAACTCATTAATTCTTCTAAACAAGCTAATAAATCCAACCATAATACAGCCTCACAACAACAATTGTCTGCACAATGTCAGGTAATTTACTTACTGTAATAACCTTTTCTGCAATATATATGAAGAAAACAAGTTTAGAGTATGCAGTAACATAATATAGTAAATTATACATTAACACTGTAATTTGTAAGCCATGACTATAACCCTTTCGGTTTTGTAGGTGGTTGATGAAGAGATACCTAACTTAGTACAGGGTATTAGAGCTGCACAGAGACATTATGATAGTGCATCAGCACAACTTGGTCTTATTAACGCTAGTCAGGAATTTATTCAGGTAATATAATTATTTCAAATTGATAAATTCTACTTTGTATTTAGCAATATTATCAATGTCAGTAAAAATGAATTTGTGTTTTCAGAATTGTGCTAAATAAGAATTCAGATTTGGATACAATCTTCAATGTGTTTGAAATGTAATCAATACTTAATAAAGTTCCTGTGTTTTAATTCTTTCCACCTATCATTTTGATGAGAAACATTGTATCATTGCAGCCATGTAGTAGATTGATGGCCCAGGCTAATTCTGCTGCTCCTACTGTAGCTGACCAGTCTTCAGTTCTAACTCTAAATAATAATATAAAAGCCATGGCTACAGCTCTAGCCGAACTTAGATCAGCTGCTGCCAAGGTAAAAAATTTTTTTAGCAATTCTGTCTTGAACAGAGAAATAAGTACATTTGTCATTTATTGATCTGAAAAATTAATTTGTTTTGAATCCAAGTTAGATATTTCTGATTATTGAATGTTTTGAATAAAATAATGTAATGTAGTTAATTCTCTTTAAGAAAATGGTTTGATTGAATATATTACAAGTACTGTTCTTCCCACTATTTTAAACATTGTCAATAATATTGATATTATTACAGGCCCAGGAAGCTTGTCATTCACTAGAAGTTGATAGTGCTTTAGATCAACTAAGAGCTTTAGATAGAGAATTAGATGGTGTACAAAGATCAGCTGAAACTGGTAATTTGTTACCTTTACCAGGAGAAACGGTATGTTATTCGCTTGTTAGATTTATTCAACTTACCTGTTCTAAATGTATAAAAGTCAATTTTTCATCATATTCCTGAAAATTAAGCGTGTTTGCTTTGACACATGTACTACTGCTGATGTATCCTTACAGTAATATAGGTTGAGTGCCATAATTGAAAAAAATGGTATTATGTACTTTATTGCAATGATATTTATTAGTTTATTGTTGATATTTCAGGCAGAGACAGCAGCTTTACAACTTGGTGCTACATCTAAAACAGTTGCTTCTTCTATGTCACAATTACTGACGGCAGCTGCACAGGTTAATATCTTTATACATTCTCATACTTTAATAATTTTATCTTATTCCTCAAGAGGACACTTGGCGACGTTTATTTTGTATTCCCTAACCTTAAGAGACAGGGAATTCTTTGATGTTCCTAAATTCTTTGAGAATTCATTGATCTTTTGTAATTAGGCATGTTAACTTGTGGTTACAGATCTAGCTCACTATAGATATGTGTTATTTCCAACCCTTTATAAATTTACTATTTGTTTATGTGTAATATATTATTTGTAGGGTAATGAAGATTATGTAGGAATAGCTAGTAGAGATACAGCTAATGCCTTAAAGATATTAACATCAGCTGTTCGGGGTGTTGCTGCTACTACTAAAGATGAACAAATTCAACATAATATTGTTGGTAGTGCTCATGATGTTATGGATAAATCCATAAGATTATTAGAAGAAGCCAAATGTGCTCTCCAAAACCCTTCTAATCCTGAAAACAGTCAACGCTTAACACAGGTATATAATCCAATGCTAAATAGTAACATCTTTATTTTGTTCTGGTTGTAAGTATTTATTGGTCTATACTACACAGATAACTATTTCTTTTATAGTGCATACATAGCATTTGTTAAGTGTTCAGCCTATTTAGAGTTATTTAATGAGAGAGATTGAATCTTTCGTATAAGTCAGCTAAACCACAAAATTATATGTTTTTTTCTAGGAACTTCAAGAAACAGGAATTCTTTTTAACATTACCTGAACTTTGAAACTCATGTATAGAAAGTCAAGCAAGTTAAGAGTATTAATTATAATTGGTTATGTTTTAATTTATTAGTTATATATTATATTTTTAGGTGGCTAAATCTGTAGCTAATGCTTTATCTAACTGTATAAACTGTTTACCTGGACAAAGAGATGTAGATAATGCTATACAACAAATAACAGTTTCCAGTCAGATGTTAGCTAATCCATCCGTAAGTAAGATATTATACATATGTATTATACATAAAAATATAATCACGACTACAAACTTAAGTGTGTTAATCAACTTAATATTGATTCCAGATTTTGTGAAGAATATCCTAGAATATTTCTTCCAAAAGTACAAATGTATGTAAATTAAATAATTTTATCATTAATTCTAGTTCCCTAATACAAATAAAAACTACAACGAAGTACAGTCTGATATGAATAATGCCGCCGTTAATTTAAATCAAGCTGCTAGTGATATAGTTACAGCTTCTAGAGGTGCTACAAGTCAGTTAGCTTCGTCATCTAATCGTTATGGACAGTGTTATCAAGAGTTTGTGCACAATGGTTTAACTATGGCCGGATTAACCAAAGATTATGAAACTCAGAATCAGATTGTAGGAGGATTAAAGAGTGTATCTATGGTATCTAGTAAATTATTACTAGCCGCTAAATCTGTATCTGCAGATCCCAATGCACCAAATGCTAAAAATCTCTTGGCGCAAGCTGCAAGGTAAATTGCTTTTTTTTCTTCAATTAGATATTTCATTATTTCAGTGGCATTTAGTAATTGAACTGGAAATATACAGAACAGAATTCTGTGGAATATAGTTACTGTTTATTACTGAGTGAGCTTTGGACTAGGCTTCTACATACATTGCTCAGTAATAAACAGTAATTTTATTCCATAGAATTCTGTCCTGTGTTTAGATATCTCATGAGTTGTGATGTGAATTTAATGCATTTTGAAATACACAAGAAGGTTTATCAGGGGTTCAGTTACAATAATGGTTACTATGTTAAGGATAATCAGATTTCGAAATGTCCAGTTTTTCGAGTTTACCTGGACATAACCTTTTGAAGTATGGTCAAAGTGGACCGACACCTATTGTTGCCTATGTGTGTCACTTGCATTCTGTCGTAATTAAATTTTAAAAGAAATACAGGGAATTGGATATCTAAAAATTACTTTACAAACTCACATATCTCTATTGTTTGAACAATTACATTCTGTATATAATGGATTTTTTTTTAGAGCTGTGACTGAGAGTATTAACCATCTGATTAATATCTGCACTGTGTCTGCTCCTGGTCAAAAAGAATGTGATAATGCCCTGCGACAAATACAGGTAACATATAACTCCTAAACTACATCACTTACAACAATTGACAATGGTGACAAACTTGGTTATGTTATTTTTCATATTATAAGGATATGTTATATAACTCATAAAAATATTTCAGTAATTATTAGTGTAAGATTGTAGAATTAATTGAGGACAATAATAAAATAAAACACCACAGCACTATTGCCAGCATTTTATTGGTTGGTTTTGACTCATCTTCAAAAGAAGGCTTGATCTCGCATTAACTACATACATCTTATCAAGGCCTTCACGTAATACCCTGCATATTTCGGCACTTTTTTTGACTGGGTGAAAGCCCAGCTTGTGAGCCTATCAGATTCCTTGGTCGTTGCGAATACCAAATCTCACACTTTCAAGCTAAAATGTCTACCTGTATAATCAAGTGGCAAAGTTCAAGGTTCGTCCAATGTCAAGGTTTCTGTGGGGTTTGCTATGTCACAATCTGCAGATAATGTAGCTATAAGTTCAGGAATTGTGAAGTAATCTAGCAATGTCCAGATGCTGTAAAACTTGCAGTCGTTGCTTCAGAAAGATGATCTTTACTATACTTTGTAATAGGCATTTCAGGGACATTGGTTAAAGGGAGGTAACTCATATGAAACTAACTAAAATAATATGAACTTTTATACAATGTTACTCCTCTTACATGATTATTAAATCTTTTAAACAGATGATGAGAAATGTTTTAGATAATCCTAATGAACCTGTGAGTGATATGACATATTTCGATTGTTTAGATAGTGTGATGGAGAAGTCCAAGGTATGTAGCTCTTACCCTTTTACTTTTAAATGGATGTGCTGATGGCTCCTTTTCATGTGAGAAAATAAAAGCTGCTTACAGTAGATTGAAAGATAGCTTGAAATTACATTTAATTAATCACTAACAGATTTACTTCTCGTAAATGAAATGAAATGAAATGGAGTTTAACGTCCTACTGTTCTGCTCCTAACCTGGGCTAATGAAGACAGGCATAAGCCATATAGTGTGCTATGAGGAAAATTTTGCCCGGACAGCGGCACTACGGCCTACTCTTATATCGAATTCCAACTGCCAAGGGATCTTTTACGTGCACGCCAATGTGTACACGGGACCTCGGTTTTTCGTCCCATCCGAGCGACTAGACAGCTTTTCTTGTAAGCCCCTCCCTCCTGCTTCTCGTAAATGAATATAAAGATAGATTATATAAGATTTAGATAAAGAGCTGGCCATTTTTGCCATAATATTTCAAAAATAATGCAAAATGAATATATTGAAAATTTCATTCAAATTACTTTATTCTAAGCAAAGTTGTTACTGTTTGTAGTTTAACAAGATATGTGCATTGATTGTTTATTATCGTAACCACGGTACAAGTATATTTGAGACTTACCGGTAGTCTCACTTTCCCATTTTTAAATTAAATCATTAAATGGCCAAATCATTCTAATCTACTTAATCTAATGGCCTGGAGAGTTGATTATGGTCTTATGTTAATAAATGCCTAATTGATAATTTATATAACATTTAATGCTTTAAGAAAGACCTGCAATAGGCAGATTTAGCTCTGGAATACTATATTCCATCTGGAGTTAACAAGAGACCTATCCCAATATTGAAAATTTCCTTTGTAAACGAGCTATGAAGTGACATTTTAAAAAAAAATATTTGTGAAACCTCAATAAGTTTAGTCTTTCTATAGTTCAGTGTTTATTTAAAAAAATAAAAAGAATTGGCCTCTTTCATGAAGTTGTTCAAATACATATTTAGCAAACTCAGGCTGATGGTCATTTAAAGGTAAGCGAATCAATTTGTATTAAGTCATATGAGTCATTTTCGGTTTCTTTATATTGCGTAAATTATTATTTTTATTTGATTATTTTGTGTTTGTATATAATTATTTCAGGTATGTGTACGTATCTTTTTAATTTAGTTCTGTATTGTACATTTCTCGTAATCATTATTTATTTATATCATAATAATTTTTTGTTTTTTGTCGAAGTTAAACAAGTTATTTTGTAGCCAATTTTTGGTAAAAGTAAAAGTTTAATTTTCATAGCCTATTATTAGTTAATATTTTGTAAAACTTTTTCATGTACCAATTTTTTTCTGCCATGGTTTTTATTTAAGTAGACAAATAATAGGCATAGTTATAAATTTGTTGAATCATATAGGTCAATTAGAATAAGAAGTTTTTTTTATAGGAAAAAAAGAATAGATTAGGATTTATAATAAACCTGTGTGGAACTTTTAAGTGTTTTATATACTTCTATACAATATATAAATGCTTGTATTATTCAGTGTGTATATGTATCTTTTTGTTTTTACACGGCCACATTTTCATGTGGACGTATATTGTCGTCGCCCCTGTCCATCCGTCCGTCCACAATTATGGCACCTGATTGTACGAAAAATTATGTTTTTAGCTTGTGGTTCCTCTAGAGGTCACAATTATTATTTGATTTAAAAAGCTCTTTGAATATATCACTGTTACACTGTGTTCGAATTTCGTGAAAATCGAATCAAAACTGCCAGACATACGCAAATAGTGTAAATATATGGTATATCAAGGTTGTGGACCCTCGAGAAATCACAATTTTGATCTGATTTTGATGAACTTGAAATATATCTTTATAACTCAAAGATCTTATTTCTTTTAGATATTTGCACATATCGGATCGTAATTTCCTGAATTTTGGCCCTTGATTGTCCGAAAAATCGCTTTTTGCTTAGCTTGTTCTCTTCCCATCTCTTGCAAAATGTGGGCGTATCCTGCCTGGCAGCCGCTGGTTATATTACACAAAGTCAAACCTTTTGTAACACATCTTCCAAAACGATCACTTTTAACAAGTTATTTATTTTAAAATCATTTACAATTATATATTATATTTAGCTTCCAAATTATAAAATGTGCACCTTAAACCAGTTTTGATTTACCCACAACGCACTTTGTGTTGCATAATTATGAAGTTAAAATCAATAAATTAAATAATTCTTGGCTTAACCCATGTTCCAATAACCCCAGTACTTCTCTTTGTAAAAAACATTTATACAAACTCTTAAGTTACCGTATCTAAGTGAAAATTCAACAGATAAAAATTTTTCAATTGTATAATAATGATGATAATTTATTGTATTATACAGCACAACAAAATCCAGCCAATGGCTGCTCTGGTCATAGATTATTTGGTATTAGATAAATTAGCACAAATGGACAATCCATAGAACTGTGTTTTGGGGGTTTTTGTTTCGTTTAATGTTTTTGGACTAAGATGGACTATATTCATTGTTTGTGTTGTTCTTTTCAGGCATTAGGTGATGCTATGACAGGAATCTCTAATCATGCTAAAAGAAATGATATTGATGATTTCTGTGATTCAGTTCGTAACTTTGCCAATTCTATTTGCGGTCTAACAGAATCATCTGCTCAGGTTTGTTGATTGTAGATTTCTTAATTGATATGCCAGTTCTTCTCTAATAATAAGTGCAGGGGGACTGCACCAGACACAAACAATTACACAAGACAAATTTACAACAAGACAATACGAAGAAATCACAAACAAACGTAGAAATCAGATTTAGTGAATGGATCATGGGGCTAAATTAGATGAAGATAAGCGGGGGAATATTTAATAGATAACAGTTAATTTAGCTATGTACGATAATAGATTTCTATTTCTTTCATGTAAATTTACTTATTTAATCCCATTCCGGTGAGGGACATGTATTGTTTCTGGAATTGTTTATAAGGCCCTTTTGATATTTTGTAGGCAGCCTATTTAGTAGGAATCGCTGATCCAGCTTCTGAACCTGGTCGACCGGGTATAGTAGATCAGTCACAGTTTGCCCGTGCTAATCAAGCAATACAGATGGCTTGTCAGAACCTCACAAATCCAGCCAGCTCTCAACAACAGGTAAATATCACTTTTAGATCAAACAAAACAGCTTTACTATTGATTAATTATAAAGTATTTATTAGGTATTTACAGCATGCAATAATATAGGGTACAAACATTTCACATCCTATCATTCATTATCATGCCCATTAGAAATTAAAACACTTGTCAGCTGTGATGACAATTTGAATTTTTAGTTCGTGTGTCAGCATGATAGAATTAGCCGTTGATTGAAATAAACACTACTCAAAAAAAAGTTTTTGTTACATTCTGAAAATGGCATGTGATATGGTTTTCATTGAATAAAGCAAATGTTTTCTTTTTATTGGCATTAAAAATCTTTAGTTCTGATTTTGAGTTGACATAATATCATAGTTTGTACTTTGAAAAATATTTGTTTTCCTTCTGTTTAGATTTTTCATTCAAGCCAGTCTCTAATCCAAAAAGTTTCTATGAATTTCTAGAAAATATTATGAATAAATGGCAACTATGAGTTTCTATGAATTTCTAGAAAATATTATGTATAAATGGCAATTATTCTTTATTAACCTCAGCACTTCCTTGAAAACAGGATGAGATTAACAAATTGCAAAGATATTGTTTGGTTGTATCACATGAAATAGGTTTTATTGATACTAAAGGGATGCACTATTGGTATTACAAATACCATGTCTGTTATCGGGACTAACAGAACTGTGTTGCTTGATTGCAATTCCGTCAATTCAGAATTCTGTGGACAGACATTTAAGCATCTACTGTGTGTTTATCACTGATTGCAATAAAGGATTGTTTTATGCCATAGATACATATTTTCTTCTGGAGAATATAAACTGTTAATGGAGTAAAGATTGACTTGGATTGGTTTAAATAGAAACTTGTAGACAATGAGTGGAGTAGTTATATTTGAGGTACAACAAGCATATTTTTATCATTTCATTGTTACAAATCAAATATATTAGTATTATTACTACTGTTGGCATGTATTTGACATCTGAACTCTGAACTCTTAAAATAGGTGAATGCCCAAGCCCAGGTATGTTAAAACATTCTAAAATAACCATCTTATAATTTATAACTTGACAATTTTCGTATTTATCTGCATTTAATGCGAAACTTGTGTTTTACACATATATATATATATATCTATATATATATATAATATGATATTGTAGTTATAATCCCTTGTATAATCTGTCCCTTGTTAAACCTTCTTCAATTCCTGTAGATCTTTGAAAAGCATATTTGAGGTAACATATAAAAAAAACCCTGTTAGATAAATGGTATGGAATTAGGTTGTATGTAATGTAGATACTAAAACCGATTGTAGTTGAAACAACAAAAAGTAACATGGAGATACACTGTATTAATTGACTATTGAGCAGATAAATATTTAAATTGTGAGGTCAATGGTTAACATCTGTTTTCTTTCTAACCTGTTTGTATTTTGTTTTGTTTGTTAAGTATTACGAATCCTGGACCATACGGTCAATGGTAAGACTTGCATGCCTATAAGGCATTTTCTTCGCCAGTCGAAAGTCCTTTTATGTCTGTATTTTGTCCAATCAGATCTGGTTCTGTTCTTTTGGTTAAGTTATAAAATTTAGATGTAATGTCGGCACAGAAAACATTATTTTTTGTTGTAAATTCTCATAATTTCTTTGTGTTTGCACTATTTTCATTTTAAACGTTTAGAAGTGAAAATTTCTTTTTAACAACATCATGTGGTACTAAAAGTGTTTAACAGAGATAAATATGATTAATTGTGAAAATTATAAATATTCTAAATGTACATTAAGAAAGAATATATGTAAGATATATATATGTTATATATTTGTACATGTATGTATTGTGATCGATGCTAGTGGCTATCCCATGTATAATTACTGCCGGTACACTATTCCTTATATCTAGCACCAGTGAGTTACATTATAGGAAATGTATACTGAACAATATTGTCAGTGGAAACTGATATAACAGATGTTTTTCATATGCCATATATGGATACAAGATTAAATCTGCATAGTTATGGTATTTTGTTTGTGTATGTTTGCCATGTCTTGCGGTATAATGTTTTGTTTTCAGCTGTCATCGTATTGCAACGCACTGTATGGCTCATCATCATATTATCAAATTAAGGATAATGCATATCTTGTGAACATTCTATGTGTAGACAAATATTATTGGTAGAACTTGTGTTCATAACACACTACCACCGACATATTTCAAGCCTAAGAAAGTCAATATTTGTCCGACATTCTTAGCCCCTTTTTAATATCGGTCCTTGGGTAATAAGATATGGTCATGTTCGCTTGATAATATGAAGATGTGTATGGCTAGGCAGACATTAGTTTGGGTTTGATTGTGATATATTTTTTTATTTGTTAAAACTTATGTTTATGATATTAATAACATATTGTAAATAAATATTTTTTGAAGATCGTATATATAACAGATAAAGTCTGTCATCCTGATTTAATCACACATCCAATATTTGATATTCACCAACCATAATGTTAAACGCCATGTATATATTTATATATAATAACCTCTATAATAGTAGCTGTGTCAAATGTGTAATGACCATAAACTTAATAAACATATTATTACTTTAAATAACATGATGAAAAAGCAAAGAAACTTAACGTTAACATGCCAAATGATGCAAGATTTTACCTGTCTTGTCTCGATCCCAAGAAATTAGAGCAGGGTTGCATTGAACAAAGCAAAAGTAAGATTGTGTTAATGTAGATTGGATATTAAAATAGTGCGACAGGATCAGGCATGGAAGTTTGGCAACAGCAGGTGAAATTCGATTACTGGTTAAACACAGCTACTTTTATTATATCTCTATATTATATGCATATGATAACTTATGTTATATACTGGATAACATTTCTTCTTACAGTTTACATTTGGATCTTGTGCAAAAAGAGATTTTTGTATTGCTTACGCAGAAAACATTGCATGTATTAAATTAATTCAGATTTTTGAAAGTTAAATAATCGCATATTGCATGCTTTCATTCATTTTACTCTTTGTTTACAGAACTTCATTAAAACATTTATAATGTGCTACATATTTATTGACCTAATTTTGCAATCTTTCAAATTCTCCTTCATTTTTGTATTCTTATCATTCAAGGCAAAACACATGAATATCCTCTACACTTTAGGTGCTGAAAAATAACTGTTAGATTGAAGAATTAATCAATGTTGTGTATGAATTATTTTCAGGTTCTGTCTGCTGCTACTGTTGTGGCCAAACACACGTCTGCCTTATGTAATGCCTGTCGTGTTGCATCCTCCAAAACCGCTAACCCTGTTGCCAAGCGACATTTTGTACAGAGTGCTAAGGATGTTGCTAACAGTACAGCTATGCTAGTCAAAGCAATAAAAGTGAGTAACTTTGCTCTACAATAATTGAATTCTTTGGAATTATCAATGTTTATTCATAGCACTTGTTCCAGACAACAATTTAACAAGTGGAAATAAGGCAATTTATGATTTCCGAAAAGACAATTTTTTTTTAATTAAGATAGGTTTTTGATTTATCAAGTATTTAATCAGGTCTGACATTTTACTTCTGATTTTATTAATTTATTGTGGCCTATAAAAACACATCTGTGGAATATTTTTAGGCACTGGACCAAGACTTTACTGACCAAAATAGACAGAAGTGTGCTGAAGCTGCTCGTCCTTTAGTTGATGCTGTGGAAGAACTAACTACATTTGCTTCATCACCAGAATTTGCTAGTAAACCAGCTAAAATCAGTCCTAAGGTACATAAGTTTAATAATTCCTTGTAAACTTTTTCCTAGAAGTCGCTATTACCCATATAAACATTAATCTGTAGTGAGTTATCTTTGAATTTTAATTGTATCATGAAACACATTATAACGGTTATTTGTATTCTAGGCTCGACAAGCTCAAGAACCAATCACTTCTGCTGGTAAATCCATGATTGATGGTGCATGTAATATGTTACAAGCCGCTAAACAATTAGCTGTTAATCCAAGAGACCCGCCAACATATCAGATGTATTCCAATCATTCAAAGAGTGTGTCTGATTCTATCAAACAATTAGTTTCTTCCATCAAGTAAGTTTAACAGTATACATAAACAATTTTAGTTTTATAGTATATTTTATTCTCAGTTACATTTTACTGGACACTTTAGATGCTCTGATCAGTTGGAATTATTGTACCGAGAGGCAATGAAAATGTACCACTGATTTTTGCCTGACGGTGCTTGCGTGATATGAGACTGATGACCTAATTACAGGAAACTGGCAGCGTGTAATCCTGTAGAGGTTGCATGTTGCAGGATAATGTGCTGCCCTTGTCGAGGCATTTTCACACGTACACTTCCAGGCCTTAGTCGATTTCTAGTGGAAACCTGCTCTGCAGGAAACTGACGGCCATTTTCAGTATTATAGTGTGATGGCCCCACTGAATTATTGCAATGATGCTTCTCTGTGTTTTCCACATAACTGTTAGAGTTGTACTGATCCTAGCTTTTTAAAAGCCACATTTTATACCCCATGTCTGCACTATAAAATTGTGAATTTCAACATTCTAGAATTGATCTTTGTTGGGTTTATACACATTGTCAAATATCATTCTCACCTGTTAGGCCAAAAAAAAATGTTCTGTTTCCGGTAAACCGACCGACCCATTACAAATCTAACAATGTAACATTAAAAAACAAAAAGAAAAAAAAAACCCTACCTACCAACCCTACCCTATTTTCCATCTGTTACAGGAAATAGAACCCTTTTTTTGGCCGTATCATGGTGATTTGATGTTGTTACATTAGCATCTTTTTTTAACGCAAGATAATTTATAATTGTAGAGGTTCAGCACCTGGTCAGAATGAATGTGATGAAGGTATTGAGAAGATTAATAGAGTTATCCGACAGTTAGATCAAGCTTCTTTAGCCGCCATCAGTCAGAATTTACACCCACAGAGCGAAAAATCACTTGCGGTAAGATCTTGTTTTATATGCATAATAACATCAAGAGATGAACTATTTTTTTCTTAGTCTTTAAGCCCATCTAGTTAAAATGGTGGAATGATTCTTATACGCCTACATTAAGATGTGCCACGGTCGTATGTTGTTGTCACCGCCCGTCCGGCGGTCTTGCAGCTACAATTGCTTGTGGGAGACTTTCCAATAATTACTGACTAAGTTGTGGTTTGAAAAATCGTGTGGACACCCTAGAGGCTAAAATTATCATCCCATTGACTAGATTTATACACATCTTTTAAGTTCATGATACAGAAAAGCCTATTGCTTTCAATAATTTCCAATTACTCGAACAGCTAAAGTTATCTGATTACTGTTACATAAATGTTAGCACTAGAAAGAACTGAAAGCCAGTCAAATTTTAGTTATTTCTTATAATTAATTCATGGATTGTTTCTCTTGTTCATTATTTAGTGTTTTGAAAGTGCCTATTACCTACAAAAGAAAAAATATGTGACAATTTTTGTGGACAGCTCAGACCACTTAGCTGCAGTTGGTGTATGTTTTGTTGTCTGGCAACCTATGTTTTCTTTATTATATTTTCTTTATATATCACAGGCCTTCCAAGAACAGATGATAAACAGTGCTAGAGAAATATTAGAAAAGATTGACTTTGTACGTAATGCTGCTAAAAGAGAACCTGAAAATTTGGGTCATTTGGTAAGTTGATTGTTATGTATCATGATTCAAATCAATCTGATTAAAATACAGATCCTATTTCATTTCATTTTTATAGTTCAAAATTTAGTTTTACTTGTCTTTACTACACTAGGATCTGGAAGAGTTGTTATTATTGATGTGTTCTGGCTGATGTGAGGGATTAGCCAATGAAACGGTCTGTTACAGCGAGCTTTTGGCCTTTTGTTGCACGGAACTGTGGGTAAATCACTAGAAACGTCAACGCTGATTGATTAATCAATATCTGACGTCATAGGGTAAAAAAACATTCGTTTGACCCCTGACGTGAACTCCCACTATAACTTGTCAGATCTTCATGCAGTGAAGACCATCGAAAGTATAAAAAAACGAAACAAAATATAGATCTGTATTTTAATCAGATTAGATTCAAATAATCAAAATATGAACGGAAAGGCATAGTTAGTGATTATACCTGAAGTATTTAATTACACATGGTTTATTCTGTATATCTGAGGTGAGTTGACAATTTTATTAAACAAAATGTATGGAATCTATTGCAGATAACCACAATTACATCATATTTTGAACCATTATCGTATAGTGCTATAGGTACAGCATCTAGGAACAATAACTCTAAACAACAAATGAATATATTAGATCAAACTAAAACAGTCGCAGAATCAGCTTTGCAATTTGTTTATGCAGCTAAAGAAGGTGCTGGAAATCCCAAGGTAATGGATTATTTTGTCTTATTTAATCTGCTAAAGATTGATTTCTGTTGTTGTATATCTGTCAGTGGTCAGAAGTTGTCATTTCTGTTAACCCAGAAATAACTTTGGAGAAAATTGTCATTTCTTTTAATCCAGAAAAAAACGTTGATGCAGTAGAAGACAAATTACCTATATTTTTTTTCCATTGGGGACAACTTTACCTAAAAATAATCCCTTCACAGGGTCGATGCCGTGTGTCACATGATGGGAAGATATACTGCCATTGTATACCATTCAGTTGTGTCACACCAATATGGTACATGTAGCTGCCATATACTTCTCAGAAATTATGTACGTTGATCAGAATTCTAAAATTGTTTCTTAACTCTCATTATAATTATTCTACATATTTTAGTAAAGTATAGAAAGTTATTAAGTAATATCTACTGGATTGAATGCTATGTTTTGGATGGTTTATATTTCAGTCATCTCATGCACATCAACCTATTGATAATGCAGCTGATGATATGAAAGATGTTTTAATAGATTTATTACAAACAATGGAAGAAGCTGCATCACAGACAGGTGTTGTTTCCAGTATGATTGACAGTATATCCAAATCTATTACAAAGGTGAGAAAACCATACTAATGTAAAATCTATATAATGAATGATTATTATACAACATATAAAATTATTTAAGCAAATGTACTCTGTTGTATGATTTTCGAAATTGTATGTACAAAATAAATGGAGAATAATGAATGTGTATAAATAAACTAAGCAGGTTAATATAATAGAAATAATAAATAGATATGCATTATTTACAGTACAATTGATAGGTATGAAATAAGAGTAGATTTAAAATTGAGAGAGAAATTATATTCGATAGTATAGGAATAACATATCAAATCTAACACCCACAATCTTGTTTTTTTTTAGATTGATGAAAGAATAGCTGTAGGAGAGAAAGCATCATTTGTAGATTATCAAACAGATATGGTTAGACTAGCTAAACAAATAGCTAGAACAGCACAAGATATGGTAAACTTCTATATGATTATTGATACATTTTAAAACTACATACATGCACTGATTGCTTTCGGTGGAAATAGTTTATTACACATTAGATACCTATCTAGGTTTTTCTGAATAAGTTTACAACAACAACATAATTTATATAAATAAAATGGTTTTACATTTCAGACAACAACATAATTTATATATATAAAATGGTATTACATTTCAGACAACAACAACATAATTTATATATATAAAATGGTATTACATTTCAGACTGGAAAATCTACAACTAATGTGAGCGATCTAGGTCAATTGGCCAATCAGATGACACGAGACTATAGTCAGTTGGTCAGTAATTCTAGGGGTGCTGTATCTTCTACAACCAATGTTGATGTAAGTATCATACAGGGTTTTTATACTTCCACATTTTCAGGTGGACATATATTGTTGTCGCCCTTGTCCGTCCGTCCATAGGGGGTTGGATGGACGAATGGTTAGCATGTGCGCGCTGTATAAGGCCTGTCATTGAGTCAGCTGGCATGATTTCGAATCCCCGGTTGTATGTGACAAGGAGTATAGTCGCCTGTCCAACCCCGTTGGTTTTCTCCGGGTCCTCAGGTTTCCTCCCACTGCTAAAGACCACTATGCAAAAGCGAATTATTGAAATATACTAAATGAATTTATATATATTTTATACACAGGTTTCTCACCGTATTCAATCAACAGTACAAGATTTAGGTAAATCTATGATTGAGATTGTACAAGATGCTGGTAATTTACAGATGAATCCAACAGATGAATATGCTAGAAGAGATCTATCAGATCATGCTAGAAGTATATCAGAAAAGGTACAATATATACATTTTGATTTGATTGTCATGTAAGAATCTTTCTTTCTTGGTTGACTACTACATGTTAGATTGCCAAAATGCAGCCATTTGAAAGTGGGGAAAAAATATGTATATTTTTTTCTCTATTTGTAGGTGTCGTTTATCTTAGCTGCTCTCCAGGCTGGATCACGTGGTACACAAGCCTGTATTAATGCTGCTAGTACTGTTAGTGGTATTATAGGAGATCTAGATACAACTATAATGTTTGCTACAGCTGGTACATTAAATCCGGAAGGAGATGAATCATTCGCAGATCACAGGTAAATTTATATAGTCCAAAAATTTATTCTCTTTTGATATGGACAGACAGACCTATTTAAAAACTGTCTACTGGAAATGAACTTCTCTTTCTACATATACTTGAGTTGTGTTAATGTTACTTTTAAATATGGGTGCTTACATTATACATTAGTTAAATATCTTTTTTTCCATTTATACAGAGATAATATTCTAAAAACAGCCAAGGCTTTAGTTGAAGACACAAAAACACTTGTTGCTGGAGCAGCTTCTAATCAGGAACAATTAGCTTCTGCTGCTCAACAAGCTGTTAAAACTATCACTAGATTAGCAGATGTGGTTAAATTTGGTGCTGGTTCTCTTACTTCAGAACAACCAGAAGCACAGGTAATTACATACTTAACTATCATTTATTAATTTAATATAAAAACAAATTGTGTAATGATCTTTTAGTGGTATTTACTAACTGGTAGAGTTAGAAGAAACAGCTACTAATATATTTAGACAATGTTTCTACGAGTATTCTTTGAACATTACCAAACTTATCTTTGTTAATTGATTGGGCTACTTTGATCAAATCTGTTATACAATTGATATTTATGTATCTATGCCATTTTTGTCTGTAAATGTTTTATATATAGTTATATGTGTATATTATTAAACAGGTTCTATTAATTAATGCTGTTAAAGATGTTGCGTCTGCTCTCTCAGATTTAATCAGCGCTACTAAAAATGCATCTGGTAAAGATGTACAAGATCCAGCTATGCATCATCTAAAAGATTCAGCTAAGGTAAGTGAAATAGCCTGTTGCAGTTTGGTACAGTTTCAGTGATGTAACAGTGTATGGGCATGTTAGTCTATTAATCACAAATAAATTCACAGATTCTTGAAACAGATGTCAATTCTTAATTTGTACCAGTGTCTAGAATTTTTATTCTATTCCTAAATAAAACAGTTTTGTAATGTAATCCATGATGTAGAGATGGTTTCAGACCTTGTAAATTATTGTATAATAGGTATATAAGGGTACACACAGACATTATTTCGTTTTAATTTCTCCTTTCAAATATTTTACTGCCAGACAATCACTATGTAGTACAGTTGAGCTTCACCATTAAGATTCAGAGAAAAACCCAGTGATTGATTTTGAATGAATCTGTAAACCAAATACTGATTATCAAAATATCAAAAATTCTACTTTGAGTTCCTCCTGGAATATGGATACCCAGTAGTATCAATCATTGTGAGTAAACAATGTCAATAGATTCAATTAAACTTGAAATATTTCAGTCATCTGAGAACTATGAGTATGACAATGAGACAAATCTATGTTGCCATTTGACTGGAGAGATTTTTTAAATACTAGTACAAATTAATGGTTTGATTCATGTGCCTGTGAAGTCTTATTTTACTGAAAAAGAATCAACTAAACTATGTCATTAAAATTTATATGGAAAGAAAGCAGAAGTCACCACTAAAAAAGAAAATAGTACTTTGGGTTTTTTTTTTGTTATAGCACAGATGGTTGATTTTTTTTTTTAAAGAAAATTTGAGGAAAAATATTCCATTTATTTGGATTTAAGCAAAGGATACAATAATTAAGATATTCATGTTGAATTAAAAAACTAAAACCATATCTTAAAATTTCAAATTACAAATCTTGCAGAAAGCATGGTTTGATGTTACTGCATTTCTACATAATCAATAGCACATTCAATATATTCACAACACCAGAAAAAACCCAAAATATAACCTTGATTTAATTTATTGTAATACTAAAACTACACAAGCATAATATACATTACTTGGAACAATATAAAGTTATTGGTGAATTGTTACATACATAAACCAATAACATCATTACAGCAGACATCATCCTCAATTTCTTCAAATCTTCATGCAAAACACGCTTAAATGATCTGGCATTATAAAATAGCTTTTATAACAGCATGTGTGTGATAAATAACCAGTTTAAAGAAGATTATAGATGAAGGCATGTGACACTAACATCCAGTTAGTTAGATACATCAAGTGTTTTATTGTGTGCTGTGATAAGGTATGATACCAGTTTTATTTCTCAAGACATCCAGGTTGATTAACAGACATAGTTACCTCCCTTTTTTCACTTCTTGTTCATCTGATTTGTCAACTAGCCAATTTCTTTTGAATTTATACATTTAATTTATTCTAGAAACAACTAATAAAGAAATTTTTATCTTTGTTCATTCTGATTTTAATTTTAGTTGCCCTACAATACATAAAGATCTAATTACGTTATTATCGATTCTGTGTTATTTTAAAATCTAATTGTAGCAATTCTGATAGGTTTAAATCTTTCATATCTAATTGAAAGCATCTGAGAATTGGCTAGATCATGTATTACCGAATTACAAAAAAGTTATATCCAAATCAGAAAGAGGTTTCTATGTCTGTCAAGCAATCTTCGATTTGATAAAGTGGTAATTTATGTTTCCCCACCAAATTGAACTAGTCTAGGAATGTGTGACACTATTTGAATATAAGGTTTCATCAGTTCTTGATTATTGTTGCACTAACCATTTTATTCCACTTGTTCATGTCTTTGCTGAATTATGTTTTTATTATTATTATATCTAAACTTTCTCTTGGTTAATTTGATTATTACTACTATAATACCTTGTAATTATTGACTCATGTTTACAAATAAGTGATGTCCATCTGTTCAATTTGTAAGTCTTGTCACAGGAATCTGACCTTCTATCCGTATATATGCATACACCATACCGAACTAGACAATATATAATAAAAAAAAAGAACGGGAATGCAATGCCTGTCATTGCATCCATGTGCTGACGTTACACAAAATCAATCCGCAGTGACTAGACCATTGAAACAAGGGCCAAAGATATTTGTAGTATTTCTCTCCCTTTCCATTTCCCCCCTTTAACATGGCGATTTTTGTTGACTTTTGGGTGTAGAATCGAAGCAGAGGATTTGAATATACATTTTCTGCAAGGTTTTGGTGAATATTCATGATCTTGAGGCGGAAGTATACGGGACTTCAGAGTTTGGTTAGGTTTTTGTGTGACATCAGCGCATTGATTCAATGACAAACGTCAATGAACGAAAATAATGTAAATATTGGAAACAAGTGGCTATGATATCGTTTTGTGGGGAGTATTTATGCAAATCAAACGGCTAGATTGAAGAAAAAACATATCTGAGTGAATTGACAGAGGTTTGATTGCCTGACATTACGAATTGTTGAAAAAAAAACGAGCCGAAGCGAGAGCAGGTAAAATCGAGGCTTCAACAGGCATTGCATTCCTGTTCTTTTTTTATTATATATTGTCTAGTTCGGTGGTGTATGCATATATATATATGATTAGAAGGTCAGATTCCTGTGGTCTTGTAAAGTTTCTGACTCGGTTATATAAATTATTTTCAGAGCCAATTGTTTTTTCACCCATCAAAGCCTCGAGTTCAGATACCATCTGCAGCAAGAACACAAATTCAGATAATAGCACATCCAAAACCGGCACCACAGCCAATTCGAATTATGCCCCAACCACAAAGAAAGCCATTAGTTATTGTACCAAATCCGCCTCAACGTGGCCCACCTCCACCACCAGTTATGCCAAGATCTAAAGGTCAAGGACCTACCAATATGAATATTATGAATGGCAACATGAACTCTAGAAATGCACCAGTTCATTTTAATGTGAACTTTGACCTGCACAAGGATTTTGATGCACCACCTAGGCCTCCGCCTCCTGACTATTCTCTGCATGATGATTGGTCATCTGATTTGGATGAGTTGGCTGACATGACACCGCCACGTCCTCCTCCCCCAGTTGCTCCAAAAAATCCTGGGCATGTTAATAGCCATCTTGGCGCTTCAGATATCCAACTACTTAGTTCTCTTCTGACCTAGATTATGTATGATGTATATTATAAGGAACCTTGTAAACCTTGTAGTGAGGTTATTAATGTTAGACATTTGTTGGTGTTCTGTTTGATTTTGTATTAATGTGATGTACATACTAGTAATGGCATTTTATGAAAATAGATCTAGTCAGTATTAATTGAATCATATAATTTAAAATAAAAAAAAAATTTGAAATAGTAACGTTATCTAAGATTACTGCAGTAGTAAGCAACATTTAGTGATAAGTTTTCTTTAGCACAACCTATGTATCCGTAAATGATTTCTACCGCAATCCTTACTATATTAAAGTACTCAAGTAGAATAATGTTCACTAGTTCAGTTGAGAATCTGGTAGATATCGTTGAATAACTATTATTTCAAGGATTGTTAATAAATTGATATTGTATTTAACAACAACTATAAAATCACTTGATTTTTACCAAACGATAATTTTTTATTTTACAACAGTATGTAAATACAGATATGGCCATTTTGTATTGTACTGTAGAAAATCCTGTATGATTCTTGCAAGCTTATCAAATTGTACAGATCACACATTTGCACCCCTTCCCCCTGCTTCTCCCTCCCCTCCATGTTGTGTCACTCTATGATCACCTACAGTTAATTATGTGAGACTGATTACTACTGTACTTTTTTTTAACTCAATAAAGCTTTAATTTTCCTATCAAGATTTTTATTAACATATCATAATAATAAAGATGTTGTATATGTAGTGGTTTTTATATTATATATATATATATATATTTAAATGCATTTAGATACAATTTAATTTGATGTTGAAAGTTAGGTTTTAGTTAATAAAGTTTTGTATTTTCAAATATATTATATATAAAAAATATAGCTAGTTATTATTCTCATTGGTTAGAATACTATGTATTTTATAATATAATGTACATGTTTGATTAGAATTTGAACTGTATTCTTTTTTTTTTTCTATTGTCGAATAAAAGTTTCCTTTTCTGTTTGTGTCTGTTTCTTTTTAACATTTTGAGTTGTTTTATTATTTTATGTTTTAACAACGAGTTATTAATGATTATATGTCACACATTCCTAGTTTGCTACCACTATGACTTTATTTAGCTTGTTTGACTGTTGAGCAGTATGGTATTACAATTTGCTGTGTCCTATTTGAATTAGACTTAAGAATATATTTATCGAGATAATCTTTTCTTATCATTTAATCAATTTAACTAGATTTATTAAATCTACCCTCCTTTCAACGCTCTTTGTAATTTATTGTATTTTAGTTACCATACCATTTTATTAGACTTTTTTTTTTTATTTGGTAACCATACAACTGTAGTGTTTATAATTGTCTTTCAGATTTAGATAGTCTAGTTATACTCTTAACACTGTACATCCTAACAAATCAATTAGTATACTTGGGTTTAAAATATAGAGGCTAAAAGATATGATAGAAAGGAAAAGTTGTTAAGATATGTAGATTGTAAGTGAGGGGTTGATAATAAAGATAACTGGGTTGTTGAGTATTAATGTTTACCATACTGTTCTAACTGTCATCCTTGCATACATACTGGTATCCAACTTTTATATACCTTATCACGACCCCACTAAAACACTCTTGATATATATATATACATACCTGACCCTAGTAGATAAACATACATTATATATTATTGGTACTAAAGGGGAATATATATATCATCAACCTGTCTGCATTTATATCCATCTATCCAGTATTAAATATGGTTATTGTCCTGGGTTCTCATTTCCATTATATTTGCCAGGCTTGAATGACTGGTAGTGAAATTGACCTGTTGCAGAATTTACCTGTAGATCAGTAAAATTAAATACTTAAAATAATTAACCTTGAAGCACAATATTGTTGATTTTCATGGTTTTATGTGTTAAAACACCTAAAAATTTATAATTTTAATTTGAGATAACAGCTAAAAAAAATTCATATTCTGTGAAATATTGTCTTGCCAATCTGACGTATTGAAATTATGTCATAAAAATTGTCAAACTGACAAGATTTTGTGAAGTTAGGCCCCTGCTTTTTGTCGACGTAACTTTATGGAACAAAAGTTTAAAGCAAAGAACAGAGTTCTTGTTTAATTGAAGTTCTCTTGAAAGAAGACACTGAAATGTTAGAAAACCTTTAAAAGCCATCATTGAATACATTTGTTTATATGATGTAACATGCATGATTAAGGTGGAATTTTGAATACAAATTATCCATTGCACATTATGGTAACACAATATGAACAGACAGGTATCTATAAAGTTTGGGTTCAAATTCATATTCTTGACATGATATAGATAGGAATTACTTGTAGTAATAACAAATCTGCTTGTAAATTGAGTACATACTCGGCACATCCATTATCTATTAAACATTTACATCGCATCCACAAATTAAGAAAAGTAGAGAATATAAAGATATTGGGACAAAATGTTGTTTTATGAGGCCATTTTGTTTGTAGGTAATGGTAACTAATGTTACATCGTTGTTAAAGACTGTTAAAACTGTGGAAGATGAGGCTGTACGGGGTACTAGAGCTCTTGAATCAACTATTGAAGCCATTAACCAAGAAATTAAGGTAAGCTTGGAATATTAACTTTGTTAACTGGAAAAAGAATTAATATTTTTAGAATTACCTTTCAGCTTTTGCTTGTATGAAACTTAAGTGAACTAATTTTCCCTGAACAGGCTTATGACACCACAGACACTATTGGTAAGAAGGCAACTGCAGAAGATCTGATTCGTTACACCAAACCCATTACAGCGGCTACAGCCAAGGCAGTGGCAGCAGCCAATTCCATGAAACAAGAGGACATTATAGCTGCATCTAATATGGGGCGTAAAGCCATTATGGATTTACTTCATAATTGTAAGGTTAGTAGAATAGATGGAGATTTATTTTAAGATACATACGATGTGACAATTCTACAAAAGATATATTTTCTTGATTTGAAAACCTACCCAAACTGCTAGAAAAACCAAACAGCTATCCAAAATATTTCACCTACCGGTAATAAGACAATTTTTAAGTGTATAATTTTAGTTTTGGTGGTCATTACAAATATAAAAATAAGTAACGGTAAATCGTCGTACAGATGAACTAATTATCCTCCAGAGAAGATACCTTTAACTAAGGCTTGAATTGTATTAATAAGATTACACCAAGGCAGTATTTTTATGTTTTCTTTTTATGAAATTTTCAACAGGCTGCAGCTGCAAATGCAGAAACATCTGAAATTCGACAGAGAGCTATCAATGCTGGTAGAATGTGTGGTACAGCTTATAGAGAATTATTAGAACATGTTCACATGGTAAGTCGGGATAAATATCATTAGTCATTAACAAAAACATTTCTCGATATCCTGCTTTGATCTCATCTTAAATTGAAAAATAGATAAATAGTTGAAAAAAAAAAGAACAGTATTAATGACTATTTTCTGTTATTGATAGGTTCTTTCAAAACCTTCACAAGAAGGTAGACAGACATTATCTTTGATATCGAGGAAAGTAGCTAATGCTGTCACAGAATTAATGCAGTCATCAGAAGCTATTAAAGGTAAGATAATTATTCTCATTTATGGTCAGTGTGCAATAATATTTTATAGTAAGGTTTTTTCTTCACCATTTTTATGCTTTTTTTGGTGGTTATTTTCTGATTTTATAGCATCTTGCAAATTCTTGTATGAATATATAAAAATTAAATACGTATTATTAGGATTTATTTTATATACCTAGAACTGAGTAGAAATGAATTCATTTTTGAGAAATGAGGCTGTTTGTGACAAACAATATTTGAGTTTTTATACACTCCCACATTGAAATGTGGTCGTATATTGTCGTCGCCACCGTCCGTCCGTCTGTTGGTCTGTGGACGCTCTGGAGGATAAAGTTAATATCCGATTGACTTTAAATTGATATACAGTGTTTAAGGCCATGAGACGAAGAAGCCTATTGATTTTCAGTGATTTCCGATTATTACTGCCAGATTTATGGCCCTTGATCACTTTGAAAAATCTTGTGGATGCTCTAGAGGCTAAAGTTATCATCCGATTGACTTCAGATTGATACACAGAGTTTAAGATCTTGAGATGAACAAGTATATTGTTTTTCGATTAATTTTTATGACTTAAACAGCTATATCCATGATATTCAAAGTTTCATATACTAAACGTTAGCATGGGGCAGAACTTTATAAAAACCAAACAAATTCTAATCAGATTTTAGTGTATTATAAATGTTTCATTACCGAAAAAAGTAAAAATATGCGACAACACTTGTTGACTGCCCGGCCGATTTATCTGCTGTGGGCGTATGTTTTGTTGCCTGGCAACCTATCTTTGGATCCTTTTATAGGTTATATTATCTGAGAAAGTTCACTTAGCACATATTTCAGACTATTTATTTAACAAAATTCAATCCCCCAAAAATAATATTTTTTATGCATTATTAGTTCTCTTGTGAGGTCAGGTATATAAAGTAAATGAGGAAAAAGGCTGTACAACATAAGGAAAATTCATTTTGATTTATAAAATTTGAATCATAATAGCTTTAATTTCACCCCACAAGTTCCACATAGAAAAATATTATAATTTGATCTTGCAAGTAGGTTACATCCATGACCACAATTGTTTCCACTGCAAGATATAGTTGGTACTTCATAGGCTGTTCTTTTGTTAAAGAATGTTGTAGGGAAAATAAATTCATTCAAACGAGATTTATCTAATGCATGGATGAATAGTGGAGCTCATTTCTATTCCAGCCATATTCACTAAAATATATTTTATTTTTTGGTAAAGGTCCAATTTTGTTTATGCCACCTTAGGTTTATTACCTTTATTTATTTAAGGTTATTTTGTATTATTATGTTTATGTTTGTATCTATTGATATATAAATAAGTAAACAAATAGATTGTGTTTTTATACACCACATTAAAATGTGGTCCTATATTGTCTTCACCTATGCCTGTCTGTCAGTTGTCCACAATCATTCTAGAGGCAAAAGTTATGATCCAATTGACTTGAAATTTATAGGCAGAGTTTATGTGCATGATTAATTTTCATTCAACCATTTCTAAAAATCACCTATACTGTTTGAGGGGGGTACCGAATGGATCATAAGGTCTGTTATTCAGTCAACTGGCGTTTCGATTTTCCGCTTGTATGTGACAAGGAGTAGGGTCGTCTGTCCAGCCTCATAGGTTTTCTTCAGGTCCTCCCATTCCCTCCCACTGCTAAAGACCTCCACACGCTAACAAATTATTGGAATAAAATTGAACCATATGTTAGGCCCGAAATGACCTAGTTTGTTTTGAGTCGACGTTAAACCCCATTTCTATCTCTTTTTCTATACTGTCTGAGTTATTGCTCTTGATCTTTAAAAAAATATTGTAACGACTAGTTATCATCCACTTGATTTCTGTTAAGGCTAGTTATCAACTACTTGGCTCCCATTAGCTACAAAAGAATACAAATTTGAAAAAGCCCCTATGTACATAGCTGCTGTGGGCATCTGTTTTGTTGCCTGGCAACCTATCTTTATCATACATCATCGTGGTTCAAATAGTTTGAATGTCAGTATTCTTATAGACGTTCATTTTTTTTCCCATCAGACTGCTTACCGCGACCAAGACGAGGTCTGTTCATTTAGTTGTTGAATGTTGTTTTATTTCCAACCGCTTTTTTAGTTGCTTCATTTTTTTTTTTATTTTAATCTGTTTTTAATAAAACATTTGATGCTACCATAGCCTCAAAATTGTGATATTGAATTCTTTTTTTTACTAAAGGTTTATTTTAGCTGTTAAATCTGTTAATCAGAATTTTCTTTTCTTTGTAATTGAAAATATTTTTTTTTCCCCTTTTCTTTATGATTGAATTCTTTTCAGGTATTTGGTTTTTGATTTAAATAATACAGGCCTGACATAAAGAAATTGTGCACTTTTATAAAATGTTCATTGTTGTATGTTACTTTCTGAATACAAGGCAGTGGTCTTTTTGTACTTAATAAGAAGATATTGAAAACTATTTTAATGAAAGTTTATTTGCTGTAACAACATTATTTGGTTGTCCCAATTTCTTTTTAATATATTGCCACAAATAAAGATCGGATTTTGAATGGCCAATCCTTATTAGTATATTTTATACAGATGATCGACATAAACTTTGAACACAATTGTTACCCCTTTTCTTCTCAGATTCTATTGAAATTCGATGGTCGTACATACCAGGTAATAAGCTTGTATAGGTGAATTCTACTAGAGATAACTAACGACAATAATGATAACCACGTAGATTTAGTGTTTGTTGATATTATAATTATAATACATCTCAGCACAAGTTACAACATGAGTTTTTACATTTCTGTTGCAGCATGTTTTATTTCAGCTTATTATTATGATTATTTTATTTATTATTACAAAGAGCTGAATATATCGTAAATACCCGAATAGACAGCCCGTAATCGCTTTCCCATTTATATTGATTACAAATATAGTATAATTATTTACTGTAATGTGAGACTTATTTATGAAGAACACCCATATCCCTTGTTGTGTACATTCTTCTTATTATTAAAAATGTCACCCCTCATTCCCAGTATAGTGTGTAGAGAGTTACCATTGATAAGTTAATGTCCTCTTTCCAACACAGTTTTTCTCCTCAACTAAATTGTTCTTGTGAGTTTGTGTGTCTGCATGATAATTGCCTTTTGTTGGCTTGTTTATTCAGTCATTGAATATTAAAAAGCTGTCTTGGTGAATATACAAGATTGCCCCCCAATAAGATCAATGCTCATTTGTGTTGGAGCGTTTTGTATAGATCGACAATAGGGTATAATTAATAAAAAAATGTCTTTCCCTTGCATGGTGTGTCAGCATGCTTGTAAATATTCAACGATCCCATAGTAAACCCTGAGTGTCAATACTTTTGGCAATAATAAACATGAAATACAATAAGCATAATAATGGTAAATCAACATAATAAGCCAAAATGAAATGAATATATTATTTGTTGTCTGTGCGTAATGTGTTATTAATAATTCAGATGATGTATTTTGTATATCTTAATGGTAGATATAAATTTGATCAATGTTTCAATGGATTCTTGTGAAAGGTTAATCAAATGGGAGATTCTTTTGGGTTTTCTGAGATTCAGAAAAGTTATATCTTCTTCAAATTTTTGTTCTCATTTTACTATATTATAATATGTTCATGACATTATTTCTGTATAAAATCAGAATTCAGATCATTTGTTGACTATTCATCAAATAAATTCATTTTATTTTGAATCTTAAGGTCGATGTGCACTTGGTACAACTGCAAACTCAATGATAGTAAACGCTCTTTGGTCATATTTCAAATGTTGATAAAATGATACTTTTTGTCCCCCGCCTTTCGAAGAAAGCTTTGAGACAAGATAACTTTGATTCTATCTGATAGAGAGTGATGAAACTTAGTGTATAGTTGATAATCAGTTTGATTGCTTGATACTTTTGAAAAAAATAAATGTGCGATTAATTAATATGTGTCATCTATTTATTTTGGGATTTCGGCAGGGGACATCAGCCTCACTGTTGGCTTGTTTAATTTTCTCATCTTCGAGAATGGTAAAAGATAGTACATAATAGAATAAATTGAATTCCAATCAGATTTTAATAAATTTTAAGTTTCTATTGTCGTTGAGTGTGATAATCATGCAGAACTATGTGTTTTTGCTTGCTGATATCAACTTGGCACTTACTGGTCCTAAAGTCTTTCGTTGTCAATAATAAATTGATTATAAAAAAAATGCACTTTGTGAAATTAACCCTAAATTTTTAACCTGATAAGTAAAGGGTTTGAAATATTGAATGATTTCATGTATATAATTCATTATTATGGTGATTTTTTGTGAGAGTTTGTCAAGGTTTACGTGAAATTCTTTTATGATTTGTACATTTGTTATAGAATATGTTTAAAAGTCTTTGCTGTAATCCTGCATTCTCCATAGATAAACTTGTTAGATAACCAACCCATAGATAGAATAGTCAAACTTGAAACTTCCTTTGAAACCCATCGTTTGTTATTAACATTGATTCTGTGTGTCTGCTATCAGACATGAGAGATGATGTATTAACAAATGATGATTGAGTGTTCGAAAGTCTCTTTGGAACTTTTTTCCAATCAGTTAAAAGGCTGACTATAGGCTTATTTTAACCAGGTGATTGTAAGAGATGAATCTTTTTGGGAGGTTACTAATTTCACAATATACTGTATTCAAAGTAATAAATGCTTTGCTGCCACAAGGTACCCTGTGGCTTTAAAAAAACCATCACGTTTTTGATTTACCCATGCATGATGTCATCATACAAAGTATCACTTGGCAAACCTCAGCAGACTCCACTACATCTAGTCTCGGCTGTATGACAAATTCCGCCATTGGAACTACTTTTAAGTGCCTGGATTACAAATGGCGCCGCCCATGAAGACGTCTGTAAAGAGTCTTTTATCATATAAAGCTTTCAATGTCTGAAGCTTTTTTCTTCCATGTTTATTCTTTCTAAAAGCGGCAAGTTTTCCTAATAAGTAAACCGGTAGCCACATCACAATTGTACGAGTGTAGCTACATATCACTTACCGTCATATAGCCAAGGCTAGATGTAGGGTACCGGAGTCTGCCAAGGTTTGCCGAGTGTCAAAGCATTAGACCCGAGAAAGAAAAACCTATATTGTTTTCATTTGACATTTTGGGTGTTTTGATTTTTCATCAATTTTAATTAACATTAGTTTTTAATGGTGTGTCTTGACAATTAGCAAAAACGGAAAATGTCTTTTGAGGGTATTTTCATACAAACCTTTACCTTCAGTGTTTGGTTAGAATTTGTCGCAGTTAGCTACCCCAAGAATTTAAGTGGGCATGCATCTTTTACTTTGAATATGGTAAATAATTTGCACGGTAAAATGTCATATATGTACAACATTTTCAGATTTGTCACCTCAGATTTATTTATTAATTTTACAAATGTTTTGCTACAAAATACATATTTAAAATAGAGAAGATACAGGTGTGTGTAATTAAAATGAGTCTATTAAGCCTTTTATGCTAATATAAATTTGTTATACTGGTAATTTCAATAAATGAGCCTGGTAAATACCTTTTACTTTATCTGCAATAAAATTATTTAATTTAATCATAAAACTTGATTCTAATTGAAAGTGTGTGATCCATGAATAGTGATCATTCTGATTTATGGTGGAATACGATTAGATATTATTTCAAATGTTTTGATTTCAAATGTTAATAGTTCTTGAATTCTTTAAAGTAATAAATGAACTTTTGAGTTCATCGATTTATTATAGACATATATCTATTTTAAATCTGAACCTTTGTTGTTTTTTTTTTAAAAAAATACATGTATATCCACACATTACATTTGTTCAGTTTACAGATGTTTGATAGCCTTTATACTCTCGTTCTCAGGTCAGGATTGGGTGGATCCAGATGACCCTACTGTTATTGCTGAAAATGAATTACTTGGAGCAGCCAACTCCATTGAAGCTGCTGCTAAGAAGTTAGCGGCACTGAAACCACGACAAGCAATAAGAGTAAGTTGTTTTCTTTTCTTTGTCACTTTGCACCATTTTTTAAATTTTTGGGGTTTTTTTTTACTTTGTGTTTTTCATGAATTATATATCAAGCCATAAACCACAAAAAAACTTTCATTTACATGAAAATTGGATATTTGTAATATGCAATGAAAATAAAGAATAATTTTGATAATAATTAATTGAAAACAATGAGTAGCCATTATTAATTAATTTTGCTTTTGGTGTGGAACTGTGTCTGCTTCTTATTAGTTATGTAGATATCGTCTTATTGATTGAAAAACTTGCACCAAGGGCAGACAGCTGTGTGAAGAGTTTGCTGATCTCTGTGAGATATGTTTGATATAATTGGTGGTGATGTATTTAAAATCCACCAAGTATCAAACATGTCAATACAGAGGTCTGTCCTTTCAGCACCTACCAGCACCATGACATCTTGCACTGTGTTGCCATAGCACCAACAGCTTTTGTAACATACTGTATTTGTGATCCTGTAGACCAGTCATATTTGCTGATTTTTTTCTAGTTTTCCTACCATTTTATTTTCAAATCTAGGTATATTAGTATCCTATATATTTTACAATATCTCTTTCACTTTGATTTTCATTAATATAGATATAGTAGCATATACTTATAGATTTACAGATACAAATTTTTTTTACATTACATTAGAAAAATGATTAATATGAATACATGTTGAAAGTCAGTATCATATTTTCCTTTTAGCAAGCAGATGAAAGTTTGAATTTTGAAGAACAAATTTTGGATGCTGCTAAATCTATTGCTGCTGCAACTGCTGCCCTTGTTAAGTCGGCTTCTGCTGCACAAAGGGAATTGGTTGCACAAGGAAAGGTGGGAGAAAGGTTTTAATTCTCAGATAGTTTTAAATTGTTCACATATAAATAAATATAAACACTATAAATAAAATATACCGAATGAAGATCCAGCATCATGACCATGACCTAACCTTGTGTAGTATTTTATAGGTTGTAGAGTTTTATGAAATGAAATTTGTTAGCTTCCCAACCCTGTGTTATGTTAAATAGTATTATAAGTTAGTATTGTCTGCTAATTAACAACAATATATTGTAGGTTGGATCAACGTTCCACAGACACACTTTAGATGAAGATGGACAATGGTCACAAGGTTTAATATCTGCTGTAAGTTTATTGCATGTATTTTGTCATTATGGGGATAATGCTTCCCCATAATTTCTTTTAAATATCCATGGAAAACAATTTAAAAAATTTAAAAAAAAAGTCTGTAGAATCCTGTTTAATATATTTGTAGATAAGGTTACTAGGGCTAACATTCTCAATAGAAAAATCACAGACATCCGCCTTTTTCTTATCGAAATATTTCAACGGAAATGACTTAGAACAAGTAATATTGAAAACAAAATTTCAATGAATTTAAATTGTTTGAAAACAGCTATTAAAATTGTATTTACTATTTCATTGGGAAGGGGGATGTTGTCAGAATCTCAAAGCTTTTTATAAGGTTTTGAAATTTTAAAAGAATAATCCATAGCAGTGCCATTTATCAACATTCCTAATAACTAGATATATTGCTCTAACCCTTTTAGGAACTTATATTTCTTGTACATATTTTTTAATTATAAATATTTTCAGGCCAAGATGGTGGCTGCAGCAACACACAGTTTATGTGAAGCGGCCAACTCGATGGTTCAGGGTCATGCAAGTGAAGAGAAATTGATAGCATCTGCCAAGGAAGTGGCTGGTTCCACTGCCCAGTTACTCATGGCTTGTAAAGTTAAAGCTGATCCAGGTTCTGTTGCTATGCAGCGTTTACAGGTTTGGGTTTATTATCATTTGTTTACATTTCATTTACATTTACATACAATTATGCAATGGGCATGTAAAACATGGATGAAGAATAACAGTAGTATCTTTCAGGACTCAAATTGGATATCATGTATTAGTCAGTAATTTAATCCATTTGATGTTGGATAAAACTGCACAATAAGTCTGTCCCAGTACAATTGATTGAGACTTATTTTTACGAGTCAAGTGGGCCCAATATTTTACAGTCTTATTTTGGGCATGACTGCCATGACTGTCAAAGTATACAACAGTCTCATTGTATTTTACATCCACTTGCTGCCTTTAAACACAACATGACAAAAAGATTTGGATTTGTTTCTTGTTCCAAGGCATACCAAGAAAACTAAGCACAGGACTCATTGTAAGTTTTAAAAGATTTGGATTTATCTAATTATTTTACTGTATTATTCAGGCTGCTGGCAATGCTGTTAAGAGAGCTACAGAAGCATTAGTTAGATCGGCTCACCAAGCTAAAGATTATACTGATGAAGAAGCCAGTGTTACTGTTAATAAACGTATGGTAGGCGGTATCGCACAGGTTAGTTGCTTTAATATTTCTACCTTTATTGTCTGTTTGTCCTCATGATAAATGGTCTTGGAGCAGGATTTTTCAGCATGGTTTCCTCTTGTCAGTGGTGCAGGACACATCTAGTCATTTGGTCCCATGCACGTAAAAGAACCTTAAACAGTTCCAATTTGAAATAACAGTAGGCTGTAGTGCCACTGTCTGGCCAAAATTTCCCTCATAGCACACTACATGGCATTTGCTCATCTTCATTGGCCTGGATGGAGCAGAAAAGTAAGACCCCAATTTTATTTCATTTGCAAATTATCTCTGTTCTTCCAAAGAGTGTGGATACCTAGAGAGATTTACGAAGGTTTGTTCACAGTGAATTAACTAGATCTATGTCTGACCGATCTCCTGGCACAAAAACAAGACACACTAATATACTCTTCAAAAAAGTAGGGGATATTCAGAAACAATACAAAAGTGGGGAAATGCACTGTTGTTTTTATTAGAGATAACCAATGTATGTTAATAACAGGCCAATTGCCTACACATGAACATAAACAGTTATCTGACGGTCCCATTTCACTCGCAAAGAGATACATTGTCAAAAGTGAAAATAGACGTTTTTGATTTTTGTCTTAATAATGAGTCACATTTGACAATGAACCCCTCCCACATGTATGGCGCTATTGTGCATTGCACGTGCAGCTCAGTGGTTCTGTTGGGCGATAAGTTCTTCATCTGTGAACATACTCTCAAAGTGATTTGTCATATCACAACCTGCATAGGTATTTGCATTTCAATATCCCCTACTTTTTTTGAATAGTATATATATTGAACCAACCAACTTGTATTACTTAAAAAATACTGTATACAATTTCAATTTGATTTTTCAGGAAATAATGGCCCAGGAGGAAATAATAAGAAAAGAAAAAGAATTGATAGATGCCCGAAAGAGATTAGCCTATCTACGTAAAGAAAAATATAAAGATAGACCAGAAGAATATGATTCATCCTCGTCGTTTTAAAACCATCATCATGTGTGCCTGTACTGCTTCTTTCATGTCACGCTTATTCCCTGTAGATATTGATAGGTACTTCTAGAGCAATAACATTACCTAATTAGTTCTTAATTGAACACTATATCTGAAAACAGTTATGGCAAACTACTCTGTAATTTGTTGGACAAAAATACAGTTGTATGTCTGTTATTCTTGACTTGGTTAGTTTTGACTGTAGAATTTGTTCAGCTTTGAAATTGTCTGTATGGTGCTATCTAATCATTGAGGCTGTTCTGTATTGTATGATTTAACCGAACAAGAGTGATATTATTAGCTAGTTTGTGTTTATAGAACTACTATATCTCACTTTACATACCCAGGCATCAGTTTAATTTAAATCATGTAGAAAGAATGGTTGCCAATAACAACTAGCATATATCTTGTCTATCTACCTACCTACCTACCTATATGTTAAATTTGTATGTGAGGACTTATATACAATATAAAGTCCTTCATATAAACCAATTGTATATTATATTACGATTTGTATAGAAATGAATCAAATATTATAAATACTATTTAGGGATATACCATTTTTATAACTTGAGATATATGTTGAAGTGTATTTATGAAGTTTTTTTGTTACTGATTTAGTTGGTAGTGTTATATTTTTGTTTCTTTCAGCTACAAATCTGTTTTAAACAATATCTTTGAATTCCCCATCGTTTACAAAATTTAATCAGGGACTTGTAATACTAATTGCGATGTGTTGGTCCTAAAATTTGTCAGTGGTAAAATTTGTTCAGATCTGATATGAGGAATAAAACCATGCATTTTTTAACAAAAAAAAAAGGTTTTCTAATTATTGGGGCCATTTTGTTTAAAAAATAAATATTTGGGAGCTTTTTTTGGTGCTTATTTAAAAGAAAAATTATATTTTATGTCTAATACTTCTTGACTACGTAATAATGTAGAGATCATGACGCAATATGACACCATGATGTTTTATTGAGATTAAATCACAAAATACAGTCATCTACATATCGTCGTATTATTGATTTGTTGGTATTTATAGTGGAGAACAAAATGATTAACTTTAATTTTGTGTATGTGTATTATGTCATTTAGGGTGCTATTTTTTTTATTTAATTTAAACTTTGTTATGTATTAATATTATTCGATATTTTACTACATATATCAGATCTTTAACCCATAAGAAATACATTTTATTGCAATACTCAGTTCAACATATCCATAGTTTACTTATCTGCTACCTCTTGTCAAGGTATCTAATCATGAAGAGATCGTGTTCTATTTGTTTGGATTCATATTTTAAAGCGCAAATATTATTTCTTACAAAACTAGAGAGCATTGTTTTAGACAACTCAAGTTTTAGAAGCTTTCTCATCGGTGTAAGGTCTATGGAAAAACTGGCTGCACCTTGCTTAAAGAATATACTACTGGTATTTATTAAATTAAACAAGTAAGAATATGGACCAGGAATCGAGTATGATGTCATCACCACCATCTTGGAATTGTGAATTATCATATATTGATGTCCACAAATCGATATGCGAGCATGTTTCATGTCACTAGTATTTGAATTGGCACAGTTTTGGGCTTTTTTCGAAGAGCGTCAACCCCAAAGAAGAACATAAAGATGAAAGTGCATACGGACAAGTTCCTGGTCCAAAAATGCTTTAGTAAGAAATTTTTAGAAAGATGCCATCTGTTTTTTTTATCACGTATGACATTTGATAGATGATTAGTTTGTTGAATGTAGTAATTATTAGGCTACCATTAGTGCCATTATATGTAGAGTGAAGCAGTGCTATTTTTTATGTTTCAATGAATTCTTTTTGATTTTGATAATTGAATAGCTTGTTTTAAAGAAAATAATAGATCACTGTTTTGATAATGTATATAATAGATAATGCTGGCATTTCTCTTCTACACAACACAGTTGAACTTGGTTCCATTTACAACACAGAATGTACAAAGCATGAAATATTATATTGCATATCATTGTATCTTTTATGTAGCAGATTTTGTCTTTGTAAAATAAATGCATACTACATTTATATTCTAGCCTTTGTATTAATTTAACGCTTTGTGAATCATTATCAATTTCACAGTGGCAATGTCAGAATTTTCCAGTGTGAGTGGGGAAGAATTGATAATAAGTGTCTGTCCTTGGTAAGGAATGCAATCAACACAAATAATCGCATCTTGGCATCAATCAGTTAAGAGGGACAATTCATTTGTTGAGCTTGACTATGGCTATAGCTGCAAATGACCTAAGATTCTTCCCAATCCACCCCACATAGGACTATTCTTGCACTTTTATACACCCACATACACCCCCATTTTCATGTGGACGTATATTGTCGTCGCCCGTTGCCGTGAGTACGTCGTTCACAATTTGTTTGTGGACACTCTACAGGTCACAATTTTTATCCGATTTTGACAAGACTTGAAATATAGGTTTATCTCCCAAATATCTGTTCCTTTCGATATTGGAATGTATGGGACCATAACGTCATGGAATATGGCCCCTGGTTGTACGAAAAATCATGTTTTTAGCTTGTGGACACACTACAGGTGACAATTTTATCCGATTTTGATGAAACTTAAAATGTATGTTTCCAACCCAAAGATCCCAGTTCCTTTCCATATTTGTGCATATCGGACTGTAACTTTCTGGATTATGACCCCAGATCTAGAGGTCTCAATTTTTATCTGATTTAAAATAAAATTCTAATATATCACGGTTGAGTTCGAATTTGGTGAAAATCAGACCAAAACTTCCCGACAACCCAACAAAATGGCTGCTCCTCGTACCCAAATAGTGTAAAAGTATGTGATACCAAGGTTGTGGACCCTTTAGAGGTCACAACTAAATCATTTTTATACGCCCACATTGAAATGTGGTCGTATATTGTCGTCGCCCCAGTCCGTCCGTCCATCGGTCCGATTGACTTTAAATTTATATACAGTGTTTGAGGCCATGAAACTAAGAAGACTTTTGATTTTCAGCGATTTCCGATAATTACTGCCAGAGTTATGGCCCTTGATCACTTCAAAAATTCTTGTGGATGCTCTACAGGCCAAAGTTAATATCCGATTGACTTTAAATTTATACACAGTGTTTAAAGTCATGAGACGAAGAAGCCTATTGATTTTCACTGATTTCCGATAATTACTGCCAGAGTTATGGCCTTGATCACTTAAAAAAATCTTGTGGACGCTCTACAGGTCAAAGTTAATATCCGATTGACTTTAAATTTATACAGTGTTTAAGGTCATGAGACGATGAAGCCTATTGATTTTCAGTGATTTCAGATAATTACTGCCAGAGTTATGGCCCTTGATCACTTTGAAAAATCTTGTGGACGCTCTAGAGGTTAATTTCCGATTGACTTTAAATTTATACGCAGTGTTTAAGGTCATGAGACAAAGAAGTTTATTGATTTTCAGCGATTTTCGATAATTACTGCCAGAGTTATGGCCCTTGATCACTTCAAAAAATCTTGTGCACCCTCTAAAGGCCAAAGTTAATATTCAATTGACTTTAAATTTATACACAGTGTTTAAGGTCATGAGACAAAGAAGCCTATTGATTTTCAGCTATTTTCGATAATTACTGCCAGAGTTGACTTCAGATTGATACACAGAGTTTAAGAGCTTGAGACGAACAAGTATATTGATTTTCAATGAATTTTTATGACTTGAACAGCTAAATCCATGATATTAAAAGTTTTGTATACTAAACGTTAGCATGGGGCAGAACTTTATAAACACCAAACGAATTCTAATGGTTTTCTGATAATTACTTCAACAGTTGTTACTCTTAATCAGATTTTAGTGTATTATAAATGTTTCATTACCGAAAGAAGTAAAAATATGCGACAACACTTGTTGACTGCCCGGACGATTTAGCTGCTGTGGGCGTATTTTTCGTAGCTTGGCAACCTATCTTTTTAGATTGCTCTCTGTCCATCTCTTGCAAAATGTCTATTTTCTAACTGCCATCAATTGCATCTGGGTGTGGATTGTCCCTAATTCAAAGCCAATGTCAATAGGCCAACAACGAACAAGGTTACCAAGGAAAAATTAAACTGACAGTTCAATGAACAGTTCAATGAATATGGGGGATCACGTGGCTAAGTGGGTAAGACGCTAGCTCGCTAGCCTGGAGGTCGGGTGTTCGATCCCTGCATTGGCTGAGAAAGTTCATTCAGATTTTCCGGCGTGGTTCCCCCTTGTCAGTGATGCACGACGGAGGGCCTGACAAGGACAGTTGTCTAGTCCTTCGGATGAGACGAAAAACCGAGGTCCCGTGTATACATTAGAATGCACGTAAAAGATCCCTTGGCAGTTGGAATTAGATATAAGAGTAGGCGATAGTGCCGCTGCCCGGGCAAAATTTCCCTTATAGCACACTGTATGGCGTATGCCCGTCTTCCCTTTATTGTCCCCCGCCTTTCGAAGAAAGCAGGGGACTATTAAAATGGGTTCGTCCGTCTGTCTGTCTGTCTGTCCGTCCGTCCGTCTGTCTGTCCGTCACACTTTTTGGGACACAATAACTCTCTTCCTAATTGAGCTAGAATGTTCAAACTTGGTGTATGTGTTTATTAGGTCAATGCCTTGATGGAGTTCGAAGATGAGCATTTTCCGCTTAGGGTAAGCAGAGATAAGCAATTTGATTGGTTGATGCTTTGGGACACGATAACTCTCTTCCTAATTGGGCTAGAATGTTCAAACTTGGTGTATGTGTTGATTAGGTCAATGCCTTGATGAAGTTCGAAGATGAGCATTTTCCGCTTAGGGTAAGCAGAGATAAGCAATTTGATTGGTTGATGCTTTGGGACACGATAACTTTTAATTGAGCTAGAATGTTCAAACTTGGTGTATGTGTTTATTAGGTCAATGCCTTGATGGAGTTCGAAGATGAGCATTTTCCGCTTAGGGTAAGCAGAGATAAGCAATTTGATTGGTTGATACTTTGGGGCACAATAACTCACTTCCTAATTGAGCTAGAATGTTCAAACTTGGTGTATGTGTTGATTAGGTCAATGCCTTGATGGAGTTCGAAGATGAGCATTTTCTGCTTAGGGTAAGCAGAGATAAGCAATTTGATTGGTTGAACTGTTTGATTGTTCAATACTTTGTAAAAGATAATTTGTGATAAATTTATATGTGTCCTCTAATTATTTTCCTATTTCGGCGGGGGACATCAGCCTCACTGTTGGCTTGTTGTTTTTATTTTAGTTATCAATTCGATTACAAATTAAGTGTATCCTGTGTCATAGATCCTGAATTGTACAGAAAAGTGGATACTTACGACTGGCTCTATATTCATTCTTTTGATTTCATAGTCAAAGCGGTGGACCTCCAAACCTTGTCATAAAATTTTATATCTATTAATAAAGCCCTTGATGTCATTTGAAGGATGTTTAGTCAATTGCAAATTCAAATGCTGTGGAAGTTAAATCTCTAAATGGAAAATCAGCCCAAAAATGGTTCAATTCCCCTCTGTATTTACTAAGTTGAAATAAATTTTCCCAACATCAACATCCTCTATGCACAATAGAAAAAGGCCAGTGTTTGGTAAAATCTTTTATGGCACACTACAATGTATTAAGCTGTTGAATCCAAGTTTGGCAACAACTCTATGAGCTTCACCATATTGTCCATATGCCTTGGCCAGCCAGGAGTCCCGGTCGTTCCCCTACAGAGCATGTCTGCGACATGATCGGCAGACGTGTTCGTTGACGTCAACGTCAATCGACAACACTGCAAGAATTGGCCGTGGCACTGCAAGAGGGGCGGGTCAGATTGCCCCAAATCGTGATTGGACGGTTGATTAGGAGCATGCCACGACGAATTGCTGAATGTCTGAGGATTGGTGGAACAATTACTCATTATTAAGACAAAAATCAAAAACGCCCATTTTCACTTTTGACCGTGTATCTCTTTGCGAGTGAAATGGGGCGTCAGATAAGCCGCCCATATGAACTGTTTATGTTCATGTGTAGGCAATTGGCCTGTTATTAACATACACTGGTTACCTCTAATAGAAACAGCGGCGCATTTCCATAGTTTTGTATTGTTTCTGAATATCCCCTACTTTTTTTGAAGGATATATTTTGGAACTATTATAGTAAGAATGGGTAGCTCTCTATATAAATCTTACATAATGTATCTTTAATGAGCCAGCACCTTTATCACTGAACTACCGTGGCTCTCTCTGGTGCATTTACCATTCAGAACTCATAGCTTAATTGTGCCTGTGGTTCCCCTTACAAAGATTCATAAGGAACCAAATACGGTGAAAAATACAAGGTAATGATTTCAAAATAGTCTTAGCTGATAGCTGATACCATGTCTATGAATAATTTTACCATGTGGAAGTACATACAGTAAGAAAAGAAGTGGACCTAGTACCGATCCCTGTGGGACTCCAATGGACAGCGGTTTAGATACAGAGTTGCTGCTATGAATATGGACACATTGGCTTCTGTCAGTTAGATAAGACTTCAGCCAATCCAGCGCCGATCCTTTGATTCCCACAGATAACTGCAGTTGATTGAACAGAATGTTATGGTCGATGGTATCAAATGCCGCACTTAGATCTAGAAGTATAAGGTTGATGCCAAGGTTGCATCAATATCAGCTTTTACCATCAGGAGTGCTGTCTCTGTGCTGTGACCTTCTTTATAAGCAGACTGCAGTGGTTCATGAAGATCGTTAGCTTGCAAATAATTAGTCATTTGTCTCCCTATCACCCTTTCAAGCACCTTACCGATAATTCTTGAAGATCTCGCAATCAAGCGATGGTTTCTTCAGAAGTGGAATCACAAGGGCAGTCTTTAATGGCACACAGCTTTTGGCAATTGAAGAAGCCATGTTGGAAGGGGATCTAGGCTACAGGAAGTTGACTTGCTCTTACCAATGATGGACCGGACATGTTCTGTAACTGGGGCAAACTCAAACAAACGGCTTGGTACATGATGTTCTTCAAACGCATTTAACCCACTGCTAGTATTGTCAAGAGTACGTCTGATATCACTGACTTTGTCATGAAAGAAGTCACTGAAACGTTCAGCTAGCACAACATTTGAATTAGACTTTGGTAATTTCTTTTGATTTTCAGAGATAAGTTTATCGATAACATTAAAAAGATCTTTAGAATCTGTTGCAGAGAGTTTGTTTTTATAAAAAGTTGTCTTAGCACCTGAGATCAATTTTATTACCTCCTTGGACTGAGATTGGGATAGTTGTCTATCAACTTCAAGACCTGTTTTTACACATTTTCTTTCTACTTTTCGTCTGAGAATTCTTTCAGGGTGAATGACATCAGTATACCGGGGATTTGGATGGTTGCCTTTACTTTTGCGAGACTTTACAGGAGCAAATACGTCAAGTGTGGGACTCAATGACCTGGGAATACCGACGCAGTAGAATTAGAGGATCATCAGAATCAATACATTTCACAGCCTCTTTGATAGACGACGCAAACTTCTCAGCATCAATATCTTTCAGTTTTCTACTCATGATTTCTTTTTCCACAGACGATGCGCTTTCAAGGTTTATGTCATACTATTGGGTAGTGATCTGACAATAAATCTGTAGTTACTTCAAGTGTATTAATAAGTTGGCTGTTTCGTTCAGAGATAACAAAGTCAAAAATATGTCCACGTTTGTGTAGTTTAGTCTAGGATGTTTTGGAAACAGTAGAATCGTTTACATTATCAAAGTGTAAGTTCAAACCTCCAATAATAAGCAGACTTGTGTTAAGGAGAATGAGCTCGGAAATCATAGTCTCGAAGTCTTTCAGAAAATCCTGATTACTCGATTTGTTTTTCTTTGATGGGAGAGGATGATATAATATCACACGCCGAAGTCTATTGTTGAGAAGTAATTGTTGTACAAATTCAAAGGAATTATAAGCTAGATTAAAATTACCAGTACCGTTGTCTTATTTGTAAATATTATTTGTCATATTGTTATAAAATATATGTACATGTTTATATTGTATATATAGCTGTCCTATGGATGTTTCGATGCAATAAAAATCTTATCTTATCTTATCTTAGATTTCCTTTTGAATGGCACGCATGCGTAACACAATTAAACGGTCTGTTATACAATAATAATTACATTACAGGGGCGGATCTAGGAATTTTGAAAAGGGGGGCCCCGCAAAATGAGGGCACTGACCGCGGAGAAGGGGCACACCGCTGAGAGGGGGGTGGAGGTGGTGTCCCCCCAAGAAAATTATCCTATAGTCACTCTATAGGATTAGGGCACCGTCAGCTAAACAACAAGGATTCGTTTGAAAGTGGAAGCATTAATTAAACCAGACTGGTGTGTTTGAGTCGATGGTTTGAGTCATTTAGGATCCCTGCAACGGTTTCGGAACGGACATATTTGGGTCTGAGAAAAGGCACTTTCAGGGGTGGGGGGTCCCCCCCCCCCCTCAAGAAAATTATCCTATAGTCACTCTATAGGATTAGGGCACCGTCAGCTAAACAACAAGGATTCGTTTGAAAGTGGAAGCATTAATTAGACCAGACTGGTGTGTTTGAGTCGATGGTTTGAGTCATTTATAGGATCCCTGCAACGGTTTGGGAACGGGCATATTTGGGTCCGAGAACAGGCACTTTCAGCAGTAAAAAAAGGGCACAGTCGAAAAATAGGGGGGGGGGCGCCCCTCACCCCCTTGGATCCGCCTCTGCATAATACATGTATCTGATCACATACGAAATCTATTCAGTTCCGAATGGCTTACAATGCGCGGAAATGACGGTAAATTCGAAATGACATATAATTGCGGGGAACTGTTGTAACAAGTGAAATCACCGGACTGAGATGTTACAAAGTTCAGAACAATTTGCATCTTTGTTTACGACTACTGAGCTCATCGATCATCATCTTATCATCCAGTGTTCGGATAAGTTCATTTTCAATAGCCAGTAGGGCTAAAGCCCGGAGTTTCTCTTGGATGAGGGTTGATCTTTTCCAACTTTTCAAGTTCGCAAGTACACTGAAAGATCTCTCGGCTGTGGCGGCTGAAGTCATCTTTTTACTTCGGGGAATATTCCCGTAAGATGTTTAACCACGATCTGCTTCAGACTCCGGGCACCCATCGCACTCGGCAAATCTCGACAGATTCCGTTACCCTATATTAGATGCGTAGAATCTGTCGAGGTTTGCCGAATGGCACCCATCGGTGCCCTGGGTCCCTCGACTGGTCTTTGTGTATTTCCTTTAGGAACTGCCTCTGAGTGATCGGACTATGTCCGCTGACAACTAGGCTTTGTGTAGATGGTAATCAGAATGGGCGTTTTTCCCAGCAACTGTAGCGAGAAAACGGAGGGTGACAGTCAATCACTCGCCTGGGCTTATTGGTTGTTTGTTTGGTAATGAGAGGATTAATTTTATATAGGATACTCTGGAATATTTCTAGACTCATCCTCACGTAGCCTGTTTTCTATACACCAGAGTCGCCCAATTTGAGATCGTTACTTGGAATACTATAAACACACAGCACTCGATCGGCGTTGTACTAAGACGGCGACGCCGCCCCCTCATCATTATGTATTCAACGCGATGACGACTAAAATGCAATTAGAGGTGTCACGTGAGTTTTTTTTTTTTTTTATCGTGATCGCCAAAGTCGTCGTGGAGACGGTGTAGTGTGCTCACTCCACTTATGTCGCGGTGATATTTTTCGCCAAACTCGTCGCTTAATTACACTATTTGTTGCCGACGAAGCGGCGACTTGGGCGATCACATGAAACATGTCTGATATCAGCGACCATCGCGTCGCTGGCAACGAAAAATTGCTAGCGCACACTAGACGAGTTTTTGATTTTTCATCGTCGGCGACCGAAATCTCCTATTATTAGTCCTATGTCATCGCGTATAGTGTGCGCCAGGCTTTATATAGGCAAACGTCTTATTGCTGGCGATTGAGGTGTAAGGGAAATTATCATCAGGAAAATATAAAATCGTCCCGTACGTTGATCAAGTTTAAGCACGATAAAATTTAAAACATCCCTGAAATAAAAATAAATATTTGTAGGCTTAGTTTGCGTGGACACCCAAAGAGTGATACCGATTAATGTTCCTAAAAGGGTATAGGCTATATTCTACCTTGTGCACGACAAATAACGCATGTGGCCTACTGAATCATGGATGACCAGGTAGGCCTATATATGGAGCAAGGTGGTGATGTGTAGCCTAATAATTAATGACAAACCTGTTGTTGGTATAGCTAGATCTAGGCCTATTAGTTTTGTGATAAACGTTTTAATTTGTAACAATTATAGGGCCTACTTGAATTACACGTCTTCACTCCTTTATCGGGTTGAATTAGATGCCTCTGTCAGTCTGTGGCTGTCTATGATCTTTTATTATTTAGCTGACTCAGTGACTGTGAAACTCAACTCTTCAAGATGTTAGGAACTTGGTAGAAATTATTTTCTAGTCCGAGTTATATAGGCAACAATATTAACCACGTAGGCCTATTACTGTTGTATATAAACACAATTTACACTTAATAGACAATTTTAAAAACTTATTAGTAGGACTACAAATTATGCGTGTCAGAAGAAATATATGATAAGTTTATTCTTGATTTGAACATTCAGTGTTCTATCGGGGCAGGAGGGTGGGGGTATTCAATCACTTAGCTACCAGGGCTCGACATTAACGAAACATTTACCTTATTTTTGGGGGCAACAGGGCCTATTACAAAATTGTAGTATAGGCTAGCCCAAAATGTAACTTTTGCAAACGAGAAGCGTTATCAGTGTTTTTAGAAGAGTAAGCGCACTGTTAAGTGGGGCTCTTTATCGTGAGCGCTCATAATATTAATACTAAAGCTAAATTATTTTTCAAAAACATACAACGGGGAATTTAGATCATAAAAATTCTCAACCAGAAAGCCGTTCCAAAGCAATTGAAGAGTTCAAGTTGTTAACTATTGACTTTCAGTACTGTTAATCACATTAATTAGCTTAATAGATTATTATGTTAGACCATAATATTGTTATTAATAATCTATATAGTATAGTTAGATGATATTTTATTAACGAGATTCCCCTGTCATCCTCGATTAGCGCGCGAACAGGTGAAACTGGAGTCATGGTGCATTATGGGAATTTAGTGATCCACATGTCACGGACGCCATTACACATGTTAGAAAACTTCGCGGGAAAGTTTTCGAGTTGGGAAAGTTCAGGTTTGTGGTGATATTATAATATGAGCTTCTTTTCTAAAATCCAATGAAATAGCCTTTGCAAAGTTCACCAGAAACATTTATATAATCTTTTGACAGAGTGCCAGGATAGCCAGTAGAATGTCAAAGTGGTGAACTGGGACAGTCCAACTCTCGGCACGTTGAAACGATGGGTGCAGACGTGTGAATGAAATTCGTCTTCACAGTCATAGGCTAATTTATTAAAACAGATATAGTTGAAAGCACCGCATGAAGCCCTTCATTAAGAGTGTATAATGCTAGTTGAAATAAATGACACCTCCTCCTTCCTATATTTTGGTGACTCTTCACTCCTTTACACTTTACTTTAACTTTAGGCTATTGACTAGGATTCAGTTGAATTAGGCTAGTACAACTACTACTACTTAGACTACTTAGAGATGCCTCTGTGACCGTCTATGATTTATAATTATTTAGCTGACTCGGTGACTGAAACTCAAGTCTTCCAAGAATTATTGGAAGTTGGATAAAATAGAAATGTAGCCTATATTTTCTAGCCACTTTAGATAACAATATTAACCACTGTATAGTTCAGCTGTGAACGTAGGTCTCAGTACACTTGTAGTACGTTCAGGAACCGTCCTATTGAATCCTTGTCGAAACACTTTCGCTTCCCGGGGGATTGGATGGCCGAATGGTTAGCATGTGCGCGCTGTATCATAAGACATGTCATTGAGTCAACTGGCGTGGTTTCGAATCCCCGGTTGTACGTGATGAGTAGGGTCGACTGTCCAACGTCGTGGGTTTTCTCCGAGGCCTCCAGTTTGCTCCCACTGTCTACGCGCAAGCAAATTATTGAAATAAAAATTAAAAAAAACAGATGTTAGTCCCGAAATGACCTAGTTTGTGTCGAGTGGACGTTAAACCCCATTTCTCTCCCTCTCTCTCGCTTCCCAGTCACAATTTTACTGAACAACTTTTCACTGCTAAACGGTCGCGTGGCAGTCCCTGTGAACGCCTGTACAATGTAAAGGAACATTTTAGTGAGAAAATAAGATCTTGCTTACCTCGCTAGTGTCAGTATGTGCAACACAACATGCTGTTAAGGTTGTGAACCCTCTAGAAGTAGAAGTCACGATTTTTATCCGATTTTAAAGGAGCTAAATCGCTAATTTTGGACCTAGAAATTGACCCAAATGGGTCGCAATGCATATAATAATGTAATCTGATTGTATATAAACTGATTTATATTCAATTATTTCAAATTCAATTGTTTCCGTTTTGACTCAAACTTCAAATCAGTTACGTCCAGCGAAATCTGCCATTAGTCTCAACCGAATGGCCATTTCTAGCGTCTGGTTATTCCAGTCTATTCAGGCCTCGAAATGTTTAAAAAAAGCGACTGGTAGCTTTTCTTCATACCTGTCGCTTCAGTAAATAACCTGTCACTCTCAATTATCAAACTCAAAGACTAATCACATCACACATATCCATACATGTAGGTACACACACACACGTGGTTAGGTCATTGACGTAGGCTACATTGCTCTATATAAATATCGTAATATGAAACCTTTTTATTTCTTCGACATCGGAATGCCTTAAAATTCTCGAAAGTCGGCAAATCTGCTTTGGCTCAGCGACTCGAAGATTCGTACAATTCTATCATCCGTATCCACGTGAATTCCGCAAAGTATCATGGTACCACACTTCCGTACTAAATCGAATACTTCACCGTTGAGTTGTAGAATTCAGATTTTAAAATATCCGTAATAAATTGAATATCAAAACACAAATCATACCTGTGCATGGCACCGTATTTACATGTACCGCGTGCAAAGGACAGATAACGCCACCTGGAATTCCCTTTTCACATATCCGGACTATATTTACGCTACAAATTATATTTATATATGAAATATAAATATGATTTTTTGATTTTGTCAAATTGTCTTATAAATTATTCATAGCCTTTATTTATGGAAATTGTTTTAAACTTTTTAAATGATTAAATACACCAAGCAACGAGCCGTGTGCATTTCCATTCCAACCACTACTATCTTTACTGTGGTGTCGTTACGGTAGAATTATTTCAGGTGACTTGGGGGTGCGTTTTAATTTATTTAGATATAATACTCCATAATGCTATAAACTAGTGTCAAGCAGATGAAGACAAGGGTAGATGGTGTGAAATTCATTGATATAAAATTGTCTACTTCCAAACTGTGTGAGTAACTGTAGCCTACGACAGAGCGAAATGTAAACCGTGCAAATGGCGGCTTTTCCCGGTATTTCTGTGCTTAATTCTTGCATTTAGAAACAAATAATTAAATGTGCAGGCGAACATTTCGAGCCATGCTATTGCACATACTCTCCAGATAAGATATGGCGTGACGGTTTGACATGAAATGTGGAATATGTCTAGCTTTGTTCTTTCTGGTCACTTGCTACAAATGACGCTGAAACGCACAATGGTACATGGCTACGAGAACGTAGCTAAAAATGTTGAGATATACTGATGTGTTTGTTTATAGCTATGATTGGGAGCCTTCAGTTTGACGTGACAAACTCAGTTTTTATTATTAATACATGTAACATCTTAAAAATAATTTTATACTATTTATGACTTATTAAACTTTCATTGGCCAATGTAGTGACACAACTATTGCCTTATTCTAAATATTCGCGTTTAAATTAATGAAGCGTCATTTCTGCCGACTTGGAAACGCCATCATAGTCCATCCTACACGCTTCTTTTCATTCGGAAAACCTCGACATCTGGACCGCATCTGGTACCCTACATCTATCATCGGTTGTGCGACGGTAAGTGATATCATGGACCATAACTACGGCCAATGATAGACAGCTTTTCAAGATGGCTTCCTAGTAACGACTTACAACGCCTCGATTTAAAATGCGATGATTTGTACCCATTTCAGGTAGGATTATATGCGTAATTGTAATTGAGTGTGGCAGAAATAACAATAATCAGTCGTTTTGATAAAAAATGTTGTCAATTGCGCTTAATAAAGCCTGATGTGTTTCACGTTCGCATTTTCCACGTTAAACTATACTCCGCCAAATTAAAAACTTGACACTGATGAATTTCAACAAATTTTTTATTCTGGTTAGTCAAAAATTTTTTAAAGTGTTTCTAACGATAGTATGTAGTAAGAAGCCTTTAATTTCATAAAATTGTAAAGTCATGTGGATCATGTGACTTTTGAGCATATAAAGATGAAAAACCTGAAAAACACATGCAAACACAAACTTGTGAGGTCAATAGATGCAAGTTTGCTTAAACTGAACACGCACACGTAACTTGAACTGGAAAAACAAATTAAAATTGTTATTTTCATCTTTGTTAGAAAATGCCGTGCCTTTCAAATGTAGAACGTCTACGTGCTATAGGTAGGCTCTATGCTGGTCAGTCTGTGGTCACTGTTGCAAGAGCCATTAATTGTTCACGCCAGACAATCAGGGCTGTCGGTAATTTTTCACGGTTGATTAGCAGCACTGCTAATCAAAAAGTCCAATTTTGCCAAATTTGATTAGCAAATTTAAAAATTGATTAGCAGTTTTTCAGTTTCAACATAAAACACCTAAATAACAATATATGACTTTAGTTCATAACAAATATGATTAGATTCCATTCTTACTAATCTTAGATTTTTTTAGGACTGCCACAAGTACTCGTGACAGTTTGTGAATGTGATGTAGACATTTAGTTAGGTCTTATGTCTGAAGCCAATTCTTAACAGTGACTTCCGAAGCCCCAATCATTTTAATTGTTATTTTTTGTACGTTAGAAATCTTCGTTAGAAAACAATTTCGTCTGCTTTTTATCGTGTATTGCCTTTCTTGTTCAATCGGGCGCACCTCGATTGACTAGACACACGTGATATTTTACGGGAATTTTTACTTTGATTTATCATTTTACAATACGTTAACATTTATTTTTTTATATTTTATTTACAATACGTAGAGGATACACTGGATTTATTTCTTTCAAAATATCATATAATTACTTGATGTCTCGCAACGTGAGTGGTACTACTTGATTCCCTGTTTCCGGTTTAATAGTCCCTATTCATAGTTATGTCCCTGTATTATATAGTACCGTATAATGAATTGTGTCTGGGTAGTTCGAGAAGAAAATGTCACACGGAGAATTCAGTTTTGTTTATAAAATTTTATTCAACATTTTATACTCGTTGAAATTGTTGAGAAAGCTTTCTAGTCTTCAAATGTGGATTATCCTTGTGTCAATATCCAAAATGACAGGCATATTAATGATTCGCAGTTACTGCGAATCAAAAACTTTAGATTTTAATTTTTGATTAGCAACGGACAAAATATGTATCGCAAATTGCGCTGCGATACTGGTTGTCGGCAGCCCTGCAGACAATAATTAATTTTAGAATGAGAGTGCTTCAAACTGGAACTATTGCCGACCGCCCAAGTGCGGGAGCGCCACGTATGACGTCACTCCAGGAAGATAAGCAATACGATTACGTCATCTTAGAAACAGATTTGTCACTGCAAGTGCAACCTCCACAAGTAGAGAGATGTTTGGTTGAAGGGTAACTGCACAAGCTGTTCGAAATCGCTTGCAGGCTGCTGGTCTTCGAGCTCGGAGGCCCCATAATAGACCAATATTGACACCTCTTCATCGCCGTAACCGACTTGTGTGGGCCACAAGACGCATAAGATTTACTCAAAGACAGTGGAATTCGGTTGTCTTTATTGACGAATCTCGATTCACTTTGAGATTTGCCGATGGCAGGGTCCGAGTGTACCGCAGACGAGGTGAACGTTACGCTCAAGTATGCGTCAGAGAAGTTGACCGATTTGGTTGCGGCAGCGTCATGGTTTGGGGTTCTTTTTGTGCACATGGACGTTCTCCTCTTGTTGTTGTCCAAGGGAACTTAAATGCTGTCCAGTACAGGGATCAGATTTTGCAACCTGTTCTTCTTCCGTTTATGCAGAGACATGGGCCTGGACTAACGTTTCAACAAGACAAT